TTTCGATATGAGTTGCTATAAACTTGATATATGGTAAGTAAAAGGCTGAGTCGATTGCCATATAACTGAAGGAACTTCTACGTATCTTGGACAGTATTTCTGGATAACATGTACAACTTGATTGATGGAAATCAACTTTATTTATAAAAAAAAGGTAATGGTGATCTTTAAATTTTAAATACTTATACTATACCTACAGTAAGATGAAATATAACTGTAAAACCGACTAGAATAATTTTTAAAAAATTCCGCGTTGGTCCGAAAATGTTAAAACCTTCCAAAAAAATTTTTTTTAGGCCCATATATGTATATATATATATATATATATATATATATATATATATATATATATATATATATATATATATATATATACGATTTTTTAACCAACCTTGCAACTATTCCGATTTTCGAGAGTGTCGAATTTTATATGCTCTGTAGAGGGTGCTCAGAATTGGAGTGTTTTAATAGCAAACTCCTCTTTCTGAACCGCATGGCGATATTTTCACTACCAACCAACAATTTTCGGCCCTTTTGAAAATTTTAGGTTAGGATAAAAACATTATTAAGGCATTTGTTTAAGACAAAGGCGTATTCAGATTTTTTCTACAATTTTGCGTTTTCACATAAATGAATACAACTTTCTTATTTTATATAGCAATCATATTTAGCTACAGCCATTAAAAATGTGTCTAGCCATTTTCAGATTTGTTGAAGTCTGTGATGAAAAAAGGTGAAAATATAGGTCATTTTTTGTTTATGTAATTTTATGTAATTGTAGGCCGTGCATAATATTGTCAAAAAGACGTCACATAGAAATCTTTAAATGAGATAAGGCTAATTTAAAATAACTTACGTGAAAAACAAGACACCTAAGAAGCATTTAATATTTAGATGCAATTTTGAATACCTAATTTAATTATTTTTCATTATTTGGTAAAAACAATGTAGTTATTTTAACCTAATAAACAAACGCAATAAATATTTGAATACGAAATATTAAAATTTAACCCTTTACATCAATTACATTGAAATATTTTAACGTAAATGTTCAAATTGGGCTATCCGTCTTCAAGACACTGAAGGCACCTTTTTCCTATTGACTTCACTAACTCTATAGGATTGATGCAAGCAAACTCTTCTAAAGTGGTTTCCTCTAACTCTGCTTTGGTTTCGAGAAAAAAATCTATCCAATCCAACATTCTCCAAACTCTTCATTTAAAAGTTCACTTACAATCCGTGCGTTGTGAGTGGGGCTACCATCTTGTTGATAATAAATAATCCTTATAAGCATTAATAGCAAGTCTTTCAAAAATAGAACTACACATGTTCGGAAAATATTTAATAACCATCTGCTTTCAAATTTTCATTAAAAAAATAAGATCCCACAAATTTCTACCCATACATTGAATCCAAAGCCACCTTGCCGATTTTGATACACTACAGCATCAGCATGGGGATTTTTTGTGCTCCAGCTTTAAGAATTGTATTTGTTGAATATTCCGGAACAGTCAATCCTCGCTTCATCACATTTACTTAAGTGATTTTGATTTTGCCTTTGCTTTTTGAAACTTCCATAATTGGTGAAATTATTTTTTCCGAAATATTCGCTTGTCTGGTTGGTGCCACTCAAGATATGTATGTGTTATGTTTGACAAAATATAACACTATCGTATTATGCTTTTCATAATTTTGATACGTTTTAAATTGCTAAATGAAATAAAAGCTTTAGTTTGGCCACTAAAATTATGTGTGACACACAAAATTCAATAAAGAATGAAAGTTATGTCCTCACATTCCGACTTTTTGCATCGCTGATTTATCAAATGTATATGAATTAAAAGGACATTTTTTAAGATCATAGCCAACTATGATTGCCATAGAAACAAATAAAAATTGCCTTAAAAAATGCTCTATTAATGTTTTTACCCGAATCCCAAATTTTCATAAATAAAAAAGTCGTGCGCAATTTTCAAAAACGCCCTATATCTCGGTTGACAGTGAAGATATCTCCATATAGTTTTAACCAAAGAGTATAAGGTAGAGGGGAAGGCTTCCATTAGTGGCAATGTTAAAACGCCTTTAGCGATTGTGTCCAATCATGGAAACGGAAAACGCGCGGGAAGTACAGTTCAATTCAATTTAAATTTTGAAAAGTAAAATACGAAAAAAAAAATGTCGACATAGTTTTACATTTTTTTCTATTAAAATATAAATAAAATTCTGTTATCCGTTACAAGCTACTGTAGTATTCTCAGTGTGACGCATTACTTTAAACTGCCATGACAGTACTTTAGTACTTAGACACAAATAATGGATGGCATTCGTAGCAGTATACGCGACCTTCCCCTCTATCTAATAATCTTTGGTTTTAACCATTAAATGTTTCTCAAGAATCGAGTGCTTGACATGTAAGTCGATTTTGCTGCAGAAATCCTCCTCTTAAAACACTCCAATTACGAGCACCCTGTACTGGTACACTCTTGCTCTAATAGATGACGGATGTGTCGTCTGATCGAACTTAAGTAAAGGTTTAAAATACCTTAATCCACACTATGAACGATTTACGTCACACGAATCAAAAACTAATAGAGTTCCAATGACATTGTAATACTGATGCCTCAGTATACTGTTGCCCATGTTGATGCTCTAGCAATTAAATCAAAAGGCAGCAGATGGGTTGGTTGCGTCCGAATGGAATTGCAAGTAGGTACCCTGTACAAACGTATTCATTTCCCATACAGCTTTGGGAGCATGCTTCTTTGAATAGATCCGACAGTTCAATCGAACTGAAATTGGAATCCGATTCAAAAACGAAGCTCTGATGTTTAAAACAGCTAAAACTAATATGCATCGTTTGTTTGGAATTAAATTAAAATTATTACGAAATGAAGGTTGTTGCTAGAAAGAAAACTCTAGCTTTACGACTTGGAAATCGCCATCATTAATATAAAAAAATGCAAGAGAATGCGATTTATAAGACTTGCTCGATTATCAATAACCGTTTTAATACCAATCGAGAAGATTTGTAAATAGTACTGCAAATGCAAAACGATGCTCCGAAATATTTTCTGCCTTTAGTGATATAAAAGGGTCCGATATTGGATGTCAGTTTCATTAAATAATCCCTTTGGGTTTAAATATAACTACTATGTGACGAAGAAATTGTTTTACGTAGTAGACGAAACTTTAGTTTAGCAAGATAATTTCATTATTAAAGGCGTTATCAAGAACAAACCACTGATTACTATTAGTGTCTGTCTTCATGTTTTAGGTTTACATATATTTTTTCATTTTAAAATTTTGGTTACTATTGTTACTTAATGTAACAATAATTTTAAAAAGACGTACTCGCGTTATTCCTCTATAAATGAATCTTAGTACAATTTTTCTGATTTAGTAGAACTAATTAATTAATTTGCGTTAATAGGTTAACTTAGGTTAATTTTTTGTTAGTGGCATTTCAATAAATCATTGATCATTCGCAATTTGAAAATAACACTGGAGCTTAATTAATCCTTTAATAAGTATCCTTTAGCAAGTATCTAATAAAACATAATGTTCTTTTAATTTTTATATTTCTAAAATTTAATTTAATTTATTTAGCTGCTTTTTTGCAATTTTATATATCATACACCGTCGGCAGGAAATACTTACAGAAAACAAATAGAAATACATGTTGGATGGGATTGATTTTAATTAATATTTCCTAAAATTTGGAAATAAAATTATATTGTCAAAAAAAACTGATAATTGCGTTAGAAAATGAAATAATATATAAATTTATTACAATTCATTATATAGTGTATAATAACCTAAAAAAGATTATTTTTTTATGTAAAGGGTTAAGTGTTGAACATATATCTTCCGAATGTCATACATATAGCGTCTTCTAGAGATCTGCCAAAATGTTTGAAGCATGTACAGTATGTTTTTTTTATTTGTCTAATATGTATGCGTTTTTCCTCTTTGGTGATTAAATTTTTGGTGAAAATGTGGGTGAAAAAATAAGCGGTTGGCAATTAGGTGATACGTGCAAGATGGAAGAGCTTTATAAATATAGACCTATTTTTTTACTAATCTTTCAGATTGAAAATTTGTTCGCCAGTTATCCCCAAACTCCATATCGTCACTTAATTTTAAAATTCCATTTTTTCTTTTCTGTTTTTTTTCTTATGAATATGATTTAGTAGGTACGATGTTTCATATGGTTTTAGTTTTATCAATGGTAATAATAATTAAACCTGATTCATGGTTTTATTTATTTATTTATTTATTTATTTAATGACGGACGGGGAACATATAGATAAATAATTTAAACTAATACTATTGGCCATCAGTATAAGCCAATAAAATCAAATGAGATGAATGAAATGACATGAAATAAAATGAATCTGGTTAAGCTGACGCAAGAACTGCTCCTCAATGCTAAAAAAGTCCATATATACTGATTAGCAAGAGCTAAAGCGAGTGATATAAAAGTGATCGCCTCCATATTTTGTAGGGTGACAAGAAATATGATTTTCCTGGATACTAAAAGAACACAGGAAAACAGGGAGCTATATAATTAATATGAATGAACGAAAATCATAAAAAAATTGTTTTAATTAATTCGCAAAGACTGCACAGACTGGAGTTTTCGATCTCCATACCATTGCTGGTGCAGCAGAAAGCATAAGAACGCAAATATTTATAGGGTTTTAGGGCATCGAGAACTAGAGGAAATTAAAAAGAAAAAGTCCAGTGTGCGAACCTTAAGAGACATCTGATTTATTTTATTAGACAGCAAGTTGTGGACAAGTACAATTTGAGTTTTATCTTTAAGATAACTCCTGAAAAGGGCAAAAATTTGCTTACAGTGCTTACAATTTCTGGTTATTTTCAACCTCGCGTCAGCAGGCGAAGGGAAAATTATGTCAATGTCAATTAAAATTGAATTCAAACCAACGCACATAGTCTCTCGCATTTCCCGGAATACAAAAACTCATTTGTCGTCTTACCCAATTTGTGTCCTCCACAAAAGGGACCGTTGCTCCGTTTCACTCAATTACCAGGGACCTCGCGACCATTTCTCCACAGTTTCCACGACGCGGATCGGAAACTTTTCGAAACAATGGGCCTCGGCGTCGACCACAACCACCGTCGACTGCTCCGGATTTCCTCTGTAACCCGGACTCATAAAGAGCGCCGTGACGATGTAGAGTCGTGTGGGGCGTCGATACGAACCGTCGCGACGCCGTCGTAACAAGAGACGCCCCCGATTGCCAGAGCTGTCTAGTGGGAGATTTCGTTGGACGGGAGTAGGTCCAGGATCGAGGCGTAAGCATGCGCGCAACAAGTTCCATTAGTTGCTTTTAAACGAAGATGTATGTCGAGTTTTTTTTTCACGAACTTGTGGGAGTGGAATTAGCATTTTGTGTGTATGCAAATGGGTTTGGAATAATTAATCGGCCCACTCGCTCCCTGCGACTTGGTTCGGGGATTTTTAAACGGGCCGATGGAAAAAATTAAAGCTCACCAGGAATTTCGGCTTCCATAGCAACAAGCAAAGGGACAAACTGACTTACCATACGTTTTTTTAAAACCGCCTCAAAAGTGACCTCAGATATTTTAATATGTTATTAGCTCGGGTTTAAAGAGAACAATAAATTAATTTTCTAAAATTTCTAAAAAAAAAGAATTGGAAAAATCTTTGCCAAATAATGGAAATGGCCTCAAGTAATCGTCGGGAGGCTCTGTAGTCCTTTTACATACCTAATGAAGTTTTATTACTGTACACCTGTCTGAAACAGACTGTAATACTAAAATAGATAAATAAAAAAAAACCGTACACGATCAAAATTGTCAAAATCAAACCAAAAATCTTCATTTGTTCAAATTCTCGCAAGTGACCTTCAATCAAGTAAGGGATGTTTTTGATAAATTAAAAAGTAAAAATAGTCAAAAATACTGCAGCATATCTCGCTCTTACTCGTTTGATAAATGCCCTAATCAAGGAGGGAGTGGACCCAAATATTCTTTTTCTTTTCTCATACATAAAGGTGGGCAAGTTACTGCAAACAACTTTAGACCTATTTCTATGGTACCTTGTACATCAAAAAATCATTGAAAATTGAAAATTAACAAACATTTTGCGAATGTTAATCTTTACTTTGTCAGCAATACGGATTCATGGACACGGACAAGCAGGAGGCAACTTACGAGTGCAAAATTCTGTGATATTACTAAAGGGCTTTTCTGTGTGGACCACTCGACTCTATTAAAAAAATTAAAATATTATAATTTTTGACATCTTGGTTGGTTCATTTCTAGCTAGAAGGGGACATTGTTTATGACAATAAAACCTCGAGTACATTAGCAATGAGAAATGGCTTTAAATGGTTGGCTGGCGTTGTTTGCGGACGACACTACTTTCTTAACAAATTTAAAAAATCTGACTGAAGCACTTGCTTGCCTGCTTGCTTGCTTGCTAAAAAAATCTCAAAAAATATTTTGTAATACAAAAGAGTACTGTAGATTGCAACATATCATTGGCAGCATATCATGCATATCATTCATTCCCATTTGCTTTATGGGCTGCCTGTGCAGCAAGAGTTTTTGGCCTACAACGTAAGGTCAGTGAAGCTCTAAAGAAGCCAACATAATGATTTGTGAAACGTTAGCAAGTTCGACTCAGCAAGAACCAACGCAAGAGGAATCCAGAAGTTTTGTAAAAAGTATAGCAGTAGCCTGTGGAAGTTTCTTTGAAAAATTAACGTAGGGTAATTAGAATAATAATCACAAACCTCAAATACAGAGAGGATGTTAGATCTAAATTTTCAGACAGACAGACAGACAGGCTAACTAACCAAAACAATTCCCAATAAACAGGTTCAAAAACGTGGTCAAGGACTTTTTAATAATACAATTCTTTTGCAGTTTGGAAGAGTTTATCTTTTTTCAAGATATCAATAACTATATCTATATCTCCCCGCTTTCAGTGATAAGTTTCTGTGATAATCTTCGTTATACAGTAATGTACAGTAATGTATTTCCAGATGTCCACCGATCGCTTTATGCTTTTGTATTATGCTTTTTTTATATCGTATATTCTCAATATTATGTTGTAAAATTGTTATTCCATTTTGTATTTCATTGTCGTGACTGATTGTATACATTTTCTATGTTTGTAACATGCTAATAAATGAAATGAAATAAAAAAAAGTAAATCATTGGCACATATTTTTAAAAATTATATTTTGGTAAACTTAACATGTTATATTTATATTAATTTTATGAAAATAATTAAATAATTAAAATTACTTTTCAAAATATTAGTGATTAATCGGAAGATGTTTTTACGGGCTGCAGGATCTTGCAGTCAATAAATCCAGGTTTCTGAAGGCCAGACTCTTCAACCCATAAAAACGTCTTTCGATAAAAAGTAATGATTGGTTATTGAGCCTTGTTTCTCGATCTATTAGACATCGAGTTAATCATCATTGTTAGAGTAGAATAATTAAATAATTATTGGGGTAGATGGATCTACAGATGGAAGCATAATAAACTCCTTGACATTAAGATAATTTTCAGAATTAAATCTTCCCTTCAATCGCCAACATCCACCAAGCACATGGTCACTTATTCAACCCCGTTGACATATTTAACGCCCTTCAAATTCTGTTCCGACTGATCGACACGCCCGAATTTGTCCGTTATAACTACTAAACACTACCCTGCTCCAATATTCAGCGTAGCGATATATGAAATTTAATGTAAAAGTTTACCGCGACTGCTGCCTTCCTTCTTCTGACAATTTAATTTTTTTCGATGTAACGTGATGTTTTACTTCTACTGGCGGTAGGTGGAGAGCCAGCAAATTATGTAATATTTATAGCTTTCCGCGAAATTTCAAAGGATTCAATACACCATTCTTTTCAAGACCTGCACCCGACGCTCTTATTTCTGCATAAAAATGTGCTAGGGCACAAAAAACAAGAAAAATCATCATTGTTGTGGACAAAATCAACAAAAATCCCGTAGAATATAAAACAGAGAAATCAAAAGTTTCAATTAAAATCGATAAATTCGTAGTAGAAGTACCACTTTCTTATGACAAAAGCTTTCTTGAATATTCGCAGTAAACTTTATTTTAGATAATTCTACCATGTTTTTTTAGGATAATAAGTTTCCAATTTATTTTTTTTATGAATGTTGAAATACCTTGCCACAGAGCATTTTGGTTAGTAAAATGTAATAGAACAGTAGAAATATCCAATAAAATACTATATACCTATAAATTTTTATTTATTTTGTTTTAGTAAATTTGTCAGCAAACTTACTCCATTAAATAGTTTATTAAAGTAGGTACAAGGTATATTTGTTTAATTTTAAAAAATCAATATTTTAAACTACGGACATAAAAAAATTACTATTGCGCACCATCAATCAGAATCATTTTTTTGCTGTTGCCTTTACGTTGTGATAATTTCCATTTAATATAAACTTGTTAGTTAACAAAATTGAAAACTATCGAATTACTGAATTTTGTACAATATATTTTTATTTGATTAGGGACACTGTCGTCCATTCCAGTCGGATGCAGGATTCCAGTCGGAGTTCAACAAGCGAACGGATGATATCCCGGAATATAGTGTCATCACATTTTTCCATCCGTGAATCAATACGTGAGAATATATATATATATATATATATATATATATATATATATATATATATATATATATATATATATATATATATATATATATATATATATATATATATATATATATATATATATATATATATATATATATATATATATATATATATAAAGATGGACACACATTCATACATATCTAACATTAAGGAGCATAGTAATAAATTTACAAAGATGTAATAATTAAAGTCAAGGAAACATCCCTGTGCACCGAGTAAAGTCTCAGACCCTTAGACAATAAAAATGTGAAAACCTTTATTTGCATATTTACCTACAAAATAAAATTGGACAAAAATTAAAGAATGGAAATAATAAAGAGAAAAGTATTATTTTGACTCCAGATGAATTCCTCGGTTATTTTCTTCGCATACTTATTAAAATCAATATTTTAAAAAGTTAATAAATGCAATGGGAGGATTTTTTCAAAATTCTGGTGTTAATTTAATTTTTTTATTTTTAATAATTTTTACTCTTTTCGAGCCCCAAAATGAGGACTACCTGATGATACATTATATTCATTCTAAAAATAATATACATGGTCAGTAAAATAATTTGGATTAACCATTTAAAACGAATTTGAATAATTGAATTCCTAAAATGCAGGAAAATATTTGAAAAACGTCATATTTTGAATCAGTGTCTTCATAAATTCGAGAGAGTCTTTATATAAAGGCGTAAATTAAAAACGAGTTAAAACTCAGGGGGGAAAATGAAAAAAATCTTACCGTTTACTTGTAGTTTATGCCGTATGTCATTTTAAACGTTAGAAACAATGAATGTTAAAGATATATGCATAGAGTACCGATAGCCATGCACAACAACTTCAAAAATTTTACTTTTCACAAAAAAGTAAAATATTGAGAGATGATAGGAGTGGGGAATAAACTAAGCTTAAGTTAAACTTAACGATAAGTCGTTTTTATTAGACTGATTTTTCATAAATTTGTTTGGAGATAGACAGGACTTCTGTCCCAAAAAACAAACTTTGTCAAATATTATATTGTAGAAGTGATTTTTTTTTGTAGTATTTCCAATTTTCAAATCAGATTTGCAAAAAACATATATCGCCTAACTAGGGCCGACGCCCATAAATTTTGACTTAAAAACAACTTTTTCATTTTATTAAAGAAAAATTCATGTGTAATGTGGGTTGCCTTCCAAGAAAATGATTGATAAACCTTTCGTGGCCGTGTTGTCTTTATTGTTTGGCCCATGCACCATGGAATAAATTTAATTCCTTTCCTAACCCATTTTTAACCATTGTCCAATTTCTCATACAATTTAAATCAGCTGTGTGGATCAAACTATTGCCTTCTTTTTTGACAAACAACAGACCAATGCCAGGTGCAGGGTTCCAGTTCTTTTTATGAGGTAATTTTTAATTTTTTCCATTTGTTTTTTAAATTAAAATATTATGCCAAAAGCAATACTACATTCATCTACAACAATTTTCATCTGTAAAAGGTAATAATTCTATAGAGTGTTGGTCCGATAGTCGATATGTATTAGACATTTTTTTTAATGTTTTTTAGGTAGATATTTTCCGTAGAAAAAACATGCGTTTTGTTAACGGAACCGTAGGCAGTAGCACCGTCAAATTACTACAATAAAAAAGTGAAGACAGTCTTTTATGTTTGTCCTGTACAGAGATTGTTTAATTTTATGTTACCATGTCACACCAGGAGAATTTTTTTACAAAACTAGAATCTAACGATAAGCAGGTTGTGAAAGATATTATACAGAGCATCAGGGATCAGTTTTCTAAAGGTAAATCTTTATAACTCCATTTTTATTCAGTTACTAATTGTTTTTGTTCAACAGTTTCGGAACCATGGCTTTTAAATGGGTTATACGAATACTACCTAAGCACAAATTCAGTCCGTTCAATAGAAATTCTGATATATTTAAAGGAACCACATTATCAGTATTTATTTGACAGGTAATTTTGTTGTACCTTGTTTCTTTGTTCAGTATTGATTTTTTCAGAACTCTTGTTTTTCTCATTTATAACAAAAATTTTGTACCTTATTGCATTATACCCTGTGACAAATTAGTGAAATGTTTTGTTTGTTAATAATTGAAGCATTTACATTTTTTAAATGAAGTAATTTTGCTTATACCTTCAATGTTATATTGAATTGAGAATATGGTTTTCTTCATTTGTAGTAGAGAGCAGAGAATATAATTTGATTCACAAATATATTTTATTATTATTAGGCTAATCTAGAGGCTTAGCCTAAGCTTAAAGAACATTAACAAAAAAATTGACTTTCAGATTATATGAATCATTAAAAAGTAGTAAAGTGGAACTGAAAGTACAAGCTCTTACCTTATTAGGACATATAGCTAGGAGTCAGCCATCTTGGCTATACAAACTGCCAGAACATGTACTTTTTAAGGAGTTGTTAAGGTTACTACATGTAAGTTGGCTTTACATAATGATGTTGCAAAAAGAAAAAAAATGCTATTTTAGAATGAAGTGGAACTTCTTCCACTGATAAGTGCCCTATTGCTTTTAATTGTTCTTTTGCCTATGTTTCCTTCAGCAATGGGTGGGTATTTGGAAGATATTTTCAATATATTCCGGTAAGTCAGGTTGAATAAAAGTGATGTAATCAAAAAGCTAATATTTGATGTCTTTTAGTCGTTTGGCAGCATGGAACTCAATTCCCGGTACATTAGTTGAAGATCAAATGATACACCTGCAGGTTTCACTCTATGCTTTGTTCTTGCGACTTTATGGAATGTATCCATGTAACTTTTTGACGTATTTAAGAATACATTTCAAGGACAAAAATAGAGCGGTTTTCGAACACACCATAAAGGTAAGGTGAATTATTTTTCCTGTTTGACTGAGTACTACTGCTATATTTTGGGGGAGCAAGCTTCATATTGAACTCAACATGATCCATTTTATCAGCACGCCAATAGGTTTATCTGAATAATTTTTTCCAAAAATGTTTTTATTACTCTCTTTTTAAACTTTTTTTTGTTAGTATTTTTTGATCCCTTTTTTTTATAATAGAATAGCAAGAAAATAAGATTCAACATAACTTGCATCGAATAGATAATATTATTATAACCCAAAATATTAGTATTTTTATTTACATTCACTGTACAATAATTTATTAGATTTTTCATTAACTACAATATAATTTTCCATATTTTGCTTTTCCGCACTTCACAGTTTTATTTATTTTTAATATAATTTCTTTATATTTCATAATAATAAAAAATTTGGTTTAGTTTTTCAGTCAGTGTGTATGGTTCCATTCTCCAGCCTGTTTTCTTTATATTTTCTATTTTAGCCAATGTTGGATACTGTAAAAATGCACCCATCTTTAGTCACTACCTCAAAAGAAAACGAGACGACCACTGAAAGGTATTTGGCATTTGAACTAATAAACACAGTCTTTGTTTTAAGTTGTATTTTTCTATTTATTATACTTGAATGAGCTATTCACAATCTTATGGTATTAGGTAAAACGAATACACAATACAAGTTTTATTTTAAGAGTCAGTATCAGCAGTCTAAATTATTGCCAAAAACATTTTTTGTATTGTCCATTGGGGAGTTTTTCAAATATCCAGAGAAAATACTTTTGTCTGTTTCTCATGGTACTTTATCAATTTTAAATGCAGCATGTCTATTTAGAATGTGATTTTGTTGTTATCTGCATAACTGTTAGGTTTTGTCAGGTCTACTTTCGCTATAAAGTCACTGAGATGCAAGGCCAAACCTACTAACTAAGCAATTATTCAAAAGATTGTGAATAGACTACTTCTCATCATGCATCTGCATGCAACTTAAGAAATATTTTATTACCCAGGTGGAGAAGAATGGGAGTGCATGATGTTATCATCGAATGTGAGCGCTTTAGTTTAGACATGACCGACAGATGTCCCCATGATAGCTGTCAAAATACGACAGGTTTTCGATCAAGATCTGGAACCGCCAACTCGACCATAGGTAAAATTATCCACAATGTGTTCCAGCACATTATCTTATGTTATGTTGCAGAATCTGCGTATCACATGCAGTCACTTAAGACACTGGCAAGTCTGCAAATGCTCAATAATGAAGTGGACTTTTTTACCCCCAGCAACATCTTCCACCTTCATACCCCTCCCATTACAGAAGCATCAGCTGCCATCCCCCTTCACATACAGGTGATTGATTACACCCATTAGTTAATTATGAACTGATAGAAAGTGATTTCTTTTATAGGGCGCCTCAACGAGTTCTAATTACCAGGAAGGGACGTCTCCCCCTGAGGCGGCAATTGAAGCTACTCCAGAAACCACTCCAGTTCGGGTAAGAGAGGGGTCGTTATTTTTTATTTATTCGGTGCTTCATGTGTGTTAGGGGCCCGTTTTTGCAGCCGCTAGTGTTTAGTTATTTGTGCCTTTATAGGTATGTGTAGTTGTTGGCACGTACAGGGTGTCCGCTTTTCCACAATTTAACTGGTTATGTCTCGGTTGTTAATAGAGTTAGAAGACTGCTGCTGTTTTCTCAATCCTGTTTAAACTTCTCAGGGAAAAATTGGAAATGTTCATTTTTTCCAAATTTTTATTTAATCGAGCATCAGCAGTTTTCCATCAGCTATTTCTGCGAAATTTAAAATCCTTAGGTTAGTTCTTCACCACCTGAAATCAAGATTCTTGTACCATGTCCGGAAATTTTGGCACCACTTTGTAACAGTTTTCTAATATAGCATCAAGCAAAAGTAACTTATTTGAATTTTACGCGTATATGACAGTAATTGGTGTGACATAGTGATAGTAGATTTCACTATTCTAATACAAATTTCATGTGCTGCGAATTGTAGTAATTATCCGTTTCCTTGAAAGAACTTGTAAAATTGGACACCCTGCACGTGCAAGTTGCGTCCATTGCGTTCACGCACTTGCGCTTTTTAGGATTTCCGTTCGACTCCGTCATCGCTCATCCATCATCATCCCCTAACGCCAAAATCTAACGCGGCTCGCGCATTGACCGGCTTCCGTAGCGGCTCGATCAGTCTGAGCATGGTGTCGCCTACGCACTCCCAACCATCCTCGCCTATGCGCAAAGAGCCATCGCCATTTACTTACCCGACAGTGGAAGGGGACGTATCGCGGGTGCCGGGCGCTAACATATCACCATCGGCTTTCGTTAAATCGGGGGCGGGCTCTTTTTCTAATCAGAAGATGGTCAAGCTGATCCAGGAAAGGCTACAGGTAACGCAGGGCTTCGCTGACTTCGTCGATATAGTTAAATGTACTCTCACCAGGTTTTAACTGGTAGGATATCTTGACTAAATTCCTTAGATTCCAGCACAATTCCATGGGCATAGGATAGATAAACAGCCAGAAGGATAACTCTCAGTTTTACATGAAACTTTGTCTCACTTAAAAAAAAGATTTTAAGCTTTGATCAAAGGTCAGTGATTGTTCATATATTAAATCGGAATATCCATGTTTCACCCTCTACTCTGAAAAGTCCCTAGCAATTCTTTTTATTTAATTGACAGATGTTCCTATGGGTCGTATAATCCTGGAGGCAATAAAGCCCAAATTTAAATTTTCAATTCAAAAAGTTGAATGAAATCTTTGCCATAATTTACTTATTTTAGAACAATAAAAATTAATGCGTATCTGCGTTGTCTGAATAAATGGAGTCGATATCTGTGAAACTTCACGGATTTTCGGGAGTCAGCCTTCTGGTTGATCGTCTATTGATTAAAATGTGATTATTTGATATTAATGTTATAAATATCGATTTGGAGTTACATAATTTCTTTTATTCCCCTTATATTTGTTTTAATTTTATGATAATTGTAAAAGATGAATGAAATGAACATCTAAACAGATTAAGTTTGAAGTAAACTTGCAAGGATTGTTATCGTGGCACTTTACATTTCTACAAATTTATTTCTTTAAAAACACACAGGCTAAGAACAAGTATCAACAAATACAATATACACCTATATCAATATCTGTTAATTCAGCAAGCTTTTTGATGTGCCATTTGTTAATTTTGGGTCGTATCTAGCAGTTGAAAATTTTCATTTCATAAAATTCTGGGTATAAAATAGCTATAGTCCAACGAAAAGTTTTATTTTAAAGAATAACAGTTATATTTATAAATCTTTTAACTCGATTTTACTGAGTAATTAGGTGTTTAGGTGAGTTTAATAAAATTATTAAGTGGGTAAATTGGCATTTTTGTGACCATTTTAAAAACATCATAAAGAAGTGCCTAAGTTTGCTACTTAATAATATATTTGAGTTACGGCTGTTATTGTCAAACGACGCTGATTGTTTTGGTTCTACGATTTATAAATAATTATTTATAAGGTATGTAGTTTGTTTTTTTGTTTTATTTTTTTACATCAATAAATATATCTAAAACAAAACTTTATGATAGGGCACCTTATACACCGTTTGGCTTAGAATTTTCAGTAGAATTTCAAAATTAATTAATACATACGATGTTTAAAAAAACATGATTTAATGTTTGGCCACAAAAGTTATACTTTTACTGTATTCAAAATAAATCACAAAAATGCATTTTGACAATACTATTCATTAAGATTTCTCCCAAGAGGCCACTGAACTTCACAATATTAATTTAGTTAAAGTAAAATTAACCGTTTATCATTATCATTAAAAATTTTAACAGCTTTGTTATGTATTTTTTATTTTAACACACTATATCTGGGAATTTTTTTATCTGGGTTTATATGATTTTTTTTTGTCAGATCTCCAGTGGAGCGTTGTCGCATATTTCTTGATACATTCTGCATAGAGTGTGCCATCTAAAAAAATAATTAAATATAAATAATTGAAAAATGTGTAATGGTCAAATCTGAAAAACTTTTGTGAAGCGTTTTTGTGTTATGGGTGACATGTCGCCAAAGTTACAAAATTCCAAAAATAGTCCATCGCTCACAGTGGCATTGTAAGATTTAATTAATGTTAATTATATTGAGTTAGAGGCAATTTATTGATGAGTCCCCAAAAGAGTAATTATTGGGTAATAACGAGAGTCTCATTTTCGCTCTTAAATCTAAGAGCGTTTGACATTTTCGTAGGCGTTAGATACGCAGGTGGAGCATCCCAAGTCGAAGCCGCCCCCGACTAGTCCATTACGGATAGTCAATCCGGACGGTTCCAATCGGCAGCCCGTTAGTTTCCAGCGGAACGAATCTCCAGTGAGTCAAGAGGACGAGGAAGTGTCGACGATCGTTAGAGAAGGTGCAGCGCGGAAGCAGTCGCTCAGACCCTGCGATAGCGTGCTGCCAGAGTTCGATGATCGTGAGTTCTAAACTTCCAAGCGAGATTTATAACTTTTGCAGTTTAGTTTTGTCCTTTGGTCCGGAATAAGCCCCTTAGCGTAAATTTTAAATTTGTGGAAAATAATAAATCCTTTCTCAATGACCTGCTGAAGTCTACCTATTTATTGTTATTCGTGGAGAAAAAATATTTCTGTTAAAATGAAGTTATAAATCTGACGTCCCAAAAAAAAAGCTTTCTAAATGTTAGCCGGTGGGAATTGTTAAACTATAGTTATAAAGTTATAACCATTCAGATTGATATACTTTATTTCTTCAACAACGAAAATAATTTAAATTTGTAAATACCCAGAATAAACTTTTCGCTATTAGATTAGTGCAATATAATAATAATAATAATCTTTATTGTCTAACAGATTAACATCCATTTAGAAGACAATTTCATCTTGAGAACTATAACTATAATAAGTAGTCAACTATATTCAGTCCAGCAAAGTAATAGTGGAACATACAATCCATTATAATATTTCAAATTTCATGTGGAAAACTGTGAACGACTAAGGCAAAAAACGTCAATGTCATTACAGAAGTCACTAAATAATTTCATCAACTGATACAGAATACCTATAGACAAAAAATTGGTTCTTGGAGTTACTAGGTGAAATATAGGTGATGCCCTTATAGTCCTTAAAGGAACATGAGAAGTCAGCTGGCTCAGCAGCAGCTGGCAATCCACTAATGAATTGCAAAGTTTATATAAAAACGGAAATGAAAAGTACCTCCTACGATTCAACAGTGAGGGGCCTTAAACATTGGTAATAAATCACTCTGTGGCTGTCCCCTAGCCTCTTACATAAAAGTGAAGAAATTTCAGAAACTTCTCTGTACGTTTCCAATTTGAGTGATGTACTTGCCAAATATTGGTTGCCACAATGTTGAACTAGCGTACATAACTATAGTATAACAGTTATAAATATGTTTCCTTGTAAAATCTCTAGAGTTTCTCACTATGAATCCCAGCATTGCTATCCTGGGGAACGCCGCTACTAGCCATGAGCCTAAGCGATGAGTGACCGCGGAGCTCCACATACTGTATTCTGTTATGCAGAGATGTATGCTATAAGATCATCACAAAATCCAAGCATCCTCAATTTAGAGAGCAGTACAATGTGATTCACCCCGGTCAAAGGCTTTTAAAAAGTCTTATTGTTATACTGCTGGAAATTCCACTTACATGCTTCGTATTCGAGTATTGAAGAATTTAATATTAGCTAATGTAGGGTGTTATTACAATGACTTCTTATAATTTAATGTATAAATCTCAAACAAACCAGTTTAACATTTGATCGTGATTTTCTTGACCACTCCAGCTATGAAAACTTTCAGTTCATGATTTTAGGTTAGTTTTGAAATTTACTACCAGTGTCATTGATAAATAAACTGGTTGTTTCATATTTTTATTTATTGTGTTTAGCAAAATTGACATGAAATATAGGACAAATTTTTGATGTTATCATTAGGCAACGTTGGATTGATTAATAGGCATTGCCATTGTGGGATAATGTTACAAGAAAATAGCCTTTTTTATCCGATTTAGACCAAAGCAAATTATCGGTTTGGTACCAGCGTGGGATTCACCTTCACTTATTAGATTATATGGTGTCATGTATTTTGACAAAATTCAAATTGAATACAGTTATTTTGACCACAGAATTCAAAAATGTTATAATATGCAAATATAGCTTTGACACATTTAGCGCTTTCGAGACAACCTGTATAATATGCCACTAACTATAAAAAGTAACCATATAGCCGTATAGTGTGCATAATTCATATTTTTAATTTTTTAAAAATATTTCATTATTTTAAAAACTGACTTAAATAGATCCTTAACAAGATACAACATAGGGCTTTCTTGTGGTGGCACAATAAATGTCCTGATAGCCAGTTTCTTCTTTGTTGGCCAACTTCAAATTGGCGCTCGACAATTGTCGAGCAAACTGCAGAATTTATAAATCCAACTTCATGCTCGAAGCACTGCGCAGAACGACTTCTTTTCAAACAGTGCCCGAACTCGACCAGGACAACCAGGAACAGGGCTCGCCGTGCGCGGCCGGCGGCCTGCACATGCCCAATTCAAAATCGATGAACAGCTTCAAGCGTCGGATCAGACGGTTTCGATATCACAGCCAGTGTAATCCAGATCTGGATCGAATTGAAATATCGAGCAGTAGCAGTCCTGGTAATGGTGAGTAGTTTGTCGTTGGTGGGTGGATCCACCTATTCGCAAGGTTTGGATTTAGGAAAATGGAAAAAACATCCTCTTAGCAATTCTACACTTTGTTAGGCAAGCTACCCTTATACAACTTTACAGGAGACAGTAATAAAACAAATAAAACCATAGAGAGTTCTGTTGTTAAAAAGTGAAGTTCTTAATTTGTTTTATTCTCACGGCGATAATTTTTTTATTGATATCTTCAGAAGATTATAGGGACAAAATCATACAACTTTTCAATCAAACGTTTTTAGCCAGCCTTTTTAATAAACTCTGTACGTGAGTGTCAACATATAAATGTGCAGTCTTACCTTATCTGTAGCTACTGCTAACTTGGCTGCACAATGGATTAAAATCTGTATGCGCATGCCAATCAAAGTTCCTCATATAACTTAACGTTATAACGTTGCAACTCACACTGTTATGTTCTATTTACGTATCACAGTCATATTTCTTAAAATGTTTCTTCTTTTTTTGTGCATGGAACTAACTGAAAATCTAAAGGCATCCTACCTATATTTAATATATATTTTAGGATCCACATGCCTTTTGGGTAATATATAATTTTTGGCAATTGAACTTTGATAGAAAACTATTTACAAATCTTCCTTCCTACGTCGCTTGTTAATAATTCAAACTTGCTGATGTTTTGCCAATCACCCTGTTGGCTTCTTCAGTGCTAATCGAAAAGCTCATATACTACTCTGTCCCTGATTATATATTGTTTGAGTGGGGCGGGGCAAAATTAGGGGAATGTTGTCGTTGTTGTTTGGTTACTTATAAATTTCTATATCAAATCAAATCTTATTTGATAAAACTAAAATGCTATAAACAACCAAACAATCTAACCGCGACTCAGGTCTTTACCTTTCACCAATATGTGAATCAGTCATTCGAGACAATGTTCATTCGCCTCCTTTAGCTCCGCCCCCGTCAATAGTAATAGAAGACAAAGAATAGAAGATTTGCCAATAGCATTACAGTACCCTGTGGTATATTTAAACAAAAAAATAAATTTGTAGAACGTTTTTGTTGCTAGGTTTAAATTTTCCGGGAAACACGATAGTACGCAGGGCGAATTCGTGTCCTGAAATGGAGAAAAGCCAAGTCGTTCCCATCAAAGACAATAAAAAGCCGTTCTACGAGACGGACGAGGAGACTGTGTCTGCGGACCGCGTCGAAAGCACTTCAAATGCCCCGAATGGTTTAAATGTTAAGGAGCACAAAAAAGTACGGTCGCAACTCGCAATTATCCTGTTTGAAACGCATCCTGTTTCAGGAACCACCCAAGCACATGACCGTCACCACTCAAACCGATAATTTTTGGCCGATGCCGTACGAACATCTGTTCCTTAACATTTTCCCTTCATTAGAAGCATCTGAGGTGAAGCCCAGTCCTGCTCCGAGCCCCGCCCCGTTGAACACGTCTCAGGAGAAGTGTCAGCCTTCCTTGTATGAAATACTCGATAGGTACATAGAGAAGGCTTCGTCGGCAGCAGATACTAAGAATCTTAACGAGCAACTGCAGCTGCTGCATCAGCAGTTGTTGTTCGAAAGGTACCGGAGAGAGACGCACGCCTACAGAAACAGAAGACTGCTATCGGACGCCAAGAATACGAGACTTCTAGCGGAATGTAACTCGGCTCTGGCAAGTTTCCAAAGACTTGGTAGGACCTAAGCCAACAACCTAATTTATTTCCAGAAGGACCAAGTGCAGTTGAAGCAGAAAGATATCGACGATCTCAGGAAACAAATGGAGGATTATAGGGCGGACGATTTAGATGAGAGGGCAAAGTTATCAAGCACCATTCAGTATTGGGAAGATAAGGTAGGTGCTTATTCAGAGTTTTGCTCACAGATATAGAGATCCTGTTTATTGATTGTCGTAGTGAGCTTAAAAGTAAGTACTGATCTTAAAAGTAATATGTAATTCTGTTATTCTATAAATACAAAAATACAATTTGGGACCTCTCACTACAACAGAGTTTGATATAGATTGATAACTAGAGATTTAATCAGCATTTACAATAATTTATTGATATCCTTGTGATACATAACGTTTTAAAATACTTTGTAGCTAATATGTCTGAGTTGCTGAAAGTTTGACCAATGACAGACATAAATCTGAATTACCCAAGCTGCGAATGTTATGTTTTATTTCTAATTTAAGAATGTATAGGTTAACATGAGTTTTCCAGTTTACATTTTCATCTAATAGAATACCTAAATATTTTGCAAATTACTATTGCAATTAGATTGTGAATCTAAAGGTTCGGATAGTTGGTAGAGAGGTATTGGCAAATGTTAGAAACTTCCTTTCCTCATCAATATTTTACTTTTCAGATTGCAATTTCAGAATTTCAATTTTTTGACTGAATGAATATCATTTATACACGCCTTAAATAGTCGGAGGGCTAAGTACGGTCCTGTGGCGCATTTCAGTTTTGACCCTTAATTATGAAGGATTTCAGATCTTACGAGGCGAAGAATGTTGTAGTTTCAACGCACTCCTTCCTTTTCAGTTTAAAGCGCTGCAAGACGAATATATAATTACGAAGCGGTCATATAATCAATTGCAGAAAGATTTAAAGGAAACAAAAGAACAGTGCACTGCACTGGACAAAGAGAAACAAGACGCACTAGCAAGTCTCATGGACGCCATTGCCGAAGTGAATGTTAGTAAACTGGATTGTTTACGGTACATTTTGTTATAAAATGTACGTTATTATGTATTCAGGTGGCGAGAGAGCAGGCGCTCACTGGCGACAAAGTGAGAGGCGAGCTGCAAGAGGCCAACAGGGAACTGTTGCTGATGGGAGAGCTCCTGATCAAGTACAAAGAAAAACTGGACAAGTTGTCTTCAAAACGGGAAGTGGAAGAAGAGATGTGTTACGTTAAAGAAGCCTATAGAGAAGAGATTAAAGGTGGGGCCCTTGTATCGACTGAACCCGGTCGCTTCGACTGTAGTTTTGCATTTTTAGCTCTGGGTCACCAGCTGGAATCCAAGACGGCTTTAATAGAGGCGTACAAATGCAGGATCAACGAATTGGAGCACCTGATTAAAGCCAAAGATGAAATTATCTCATCAGGAAAGCGCACATTGGTTGCGGTCGTAGACGAACGGGAATCCATCATACAGGTTAGTGAGCTGCGATTTTAGTCCACAAAAATGTGATTTAGGATACCAAGCTGAATGCTGCTAGCATACTAACGCTGCACTTGCATTCCACAGCCACAGTAGTAGTAATTTGGTAGCTTGTGTATTGTCTAGTCCTGGGCTCTTCTAATCTCTAATGAATTACCGAGGCAGCAGCTGATCTCAGGTCTCCTCAACTCGTCCTTGGACGTTGCGATCTCAGTCTTAATACTCAATCAGGATCGTCGTTCCAAGTGACTTTTGGTTTCTTTTATACCACCCTTTCCTCCCCTTTGTCACGTCTAACGTATATCAGCGACTACAGTTTTAGTAAGAGGAAGAACACCTTTGCTTTGATTCTTATCAACACCCTACCTCTCGTACAATATGGAGAGTTTCTACTGAAGAGAACAAAATACTGTGCAGAATAAATTATGGTACATGGTAGCCACGTAAGAGTGATAAAGAATTCGTTGTCATCGGCAAAATTTTATTACTAAACCACACTAAACACTGTGAAAGTGATTTTTCTCTGAAATCCACCTACTAAAGGTATAAAAAAATAAGTGATTTTGAAACTTTTATTTTATTACTGAATCTTGAAAAAAGACAAATAATAAATAGTGGTGTAATAGCGATTTTAAAAAAACTTTTGATACATAACGGCGCGTTTTAATTAAAGGTTTAAGATAATGTAAGAATATTTTTCTTCTTTAACTTTTGTACTGTAATTTCTAAACAATATTAATGTAATTTTTTATTTTAAACCAAATTTTCAATTGTCTACTCCATTATACAAATTTATCAACCACACAGTATTACAAAATGAATCTCACAGGAATATTGAAAGTTGGGATCAGAAAACAACTGGCATTCCTAGATTTAAAAGTTCAAGTTTATAGTTGATTACATTTTCTTAAAAATTAAATTAAATGATTAATGACATTTAAAAACCTTTAGTTATATTTCTTAACCCTTCTGTTAAATTTAAATGACATTACAGCTTTAATATGAAAAAAATGGTAGGTTAGTAGTAATTTTCGTTCTGCAATATTTTATTATATTTTTATGAAGGAAAGCACTTGATTCTGTAGAGAATTAGAGAATTATAAGTATCACAGGTAAGATGAGTTTAAGTTTGTTTACTAAAAAAAAGAAACATTAAATCATCCCCCATCAGTTTATTTTCATAGATACATCAAAAAGTGTTAAACTTAAATTACTCAAATGAAGCTTACCGTAAAAAAACATATTTCATATATTTTTTGGTACATTAGCTAGGCGGATTTCAGAGAAAAATAACTTCAAAAGTTTAATACGGCGGATACGCCCCTTCGCCCGCTTTTGGCCGCTTCGATAAAACAACTTTTTGCATTCTTATCTAGCTTCGAAATACGTTCTGATTTCAGGTAACATGTATAGTTGTTTATTACTAAATATCTACCTCTTAGGCTATCGAAAGTAAATACGAAAGCCAGAAAAAGATCAACTACGCCCTAGAGCAACGGATCATGGAATTACTCCAAAGGCTCGACGTGGAAGGTGTGAAGAGAAACGTGCATTCGCCCGACACCAGTAGCTGCCACGAAGTGCAAGTGACGACGGCCGCAGGTCTGAGCCCTCATTCGTCACCTTTATCCGCCTCCCTAGGGTCGTCCGAAGGTAGCGTTCCGTTCCACGACAGGGAAGTTAGGAATCTGCAGGTAAGCGAACTAATTTTGTCGTCAAGCGGCGCAGCCACATCTTGTTTTATTGAGGCTTTCGTGGACCAACCGGAAGCCAGCGGTTCCCGAACCAGGATGGAAAGTTACGGGGAAGCCGCTTCGGACGATAGACAGGGAGGAGATTTGTCCGGCAAAACTGACTGATTTTTCATTGTAATATTTGTAACGTAATTTAAGAGAACAGGGGAAACGTCTTCACCATTACTTCGTAAGCAGAAAAATATGTAGAACCGCTTCTTTAATTAGCCTTTAAAAATAAACAATTAATTTTTTAAATGAAATTGCGAAAATTCTTCGTTTGATTTGTATTCTCTTTATTATAATTTTTTCTTCGTTTCGAGGCAAGCGCGAAAAAGTTAGACCATAATAAGGAACTTATGATTATATTAACAAACATCAAAGGAATTTACTATAATTGGACTGATATCTTGTTATGGCTATATATTGTTACAGAAATGATTTCAAAGCGATTTTTATTAAATGTGTTTAAAAATTACACCATCGCGTTTTAATACAATCCCACCGAAGCAACCCAAGCTTATTAAAGGAATACACTCTGGTTTTACGAAAAGAAATTCGATATATTACAGAATGATATTAACAACTAACAAATGCAAACGTCACTATTTCACCGGGACAAACTGTACGAGCCTTTTAATTTTCCTTAGTAGGGCTTCGACGAATCCTTTATCCGACTCCGATCGATCCTGAAAGTTCAAAAGTCACAATTCTTCTTAGACCTTCAAAGCACTTACCTGGGCGGTTTCCAAAAGCTGCTTGCTGAAGCTGTCGTTAAATAGCGACACCAAACCCTGCTTCAAGTTGCTGATGGTTTCAGTCGAGACTTTCCACGTTGTCTCTAGGGATGACGCTAACGAAGCTAAAATTGGACTTAAAATGTATAGGATAAAATTATTTGCTGGCGCTGATCAATCAATCAAAAGGCTCTAAACAATTGTATAGGGTGGTCCATAATGAATGTGCGAAAAATATTGGATTACATTCTATTTTGTCATATATGTAGAGAGCGATAGATACACCTTACAATCTCGCTATTTTCTTGTTGTGCCGTAAGTTAAAAAGGTGTGCTATATTTATACCGTCTTCAAAATATCTAAAAACCAATTGAATTAATTGAAAATATGCGTTAGTAAATGTCACTCAAATTCTGAGGAAACGTTTGTGACATAGCATTGTTGCGGAAGAATCAATGTACACTTTACACATACTTTTTACTTAGGAATCATCACTCTATCATAAGCTTTAAAAAAATTAATAGAAGGGTATAACTAATGGAATGGCGTGATTATAGGCCCTCTACATATTATGTGAAAAAATAGTACAGTGAAAACTCCCTATAGCGAAACTGTATAACATAAAACTCTGTATTACAAACAAAATTTGTTGTACTTTTAGGTCTCCATACAACGCTATGTATTAATCCACTCTGTATAACGAATTTCTCACTCTCTATACCGAAAGAAAAAAGGGCACATCAGGCAACAAAGTAAGGAATGTAGGCCGACTTACTTACTTACCTGCTCAGAATTCAATTCAATATTCAGTTAAACTGCTAGAGAAATTTTTTATGTATCATGGGGAAGATGCCCCTCTCGAAGAAGAAAATGACCGATGATTTGAAATATTAAATGTAGTTCTTAAATATTTATATAAAATGTCCCTAAGTAGATGTTAAAATATGTATATAAAATAATTAAATATTACAGAACACATAACACTATAACTAAAGCAGTCCCCTCAATTTCGCTATATAGAGTTTCGACTGTATTTGCTATGTCGAAACACTCTAGAATCAAAGTTTTGGGTAGATTTCAAAAACTGCTTGAGCCATAGAGAAATAAAAATTCCGAGAACTAAACTTTATGTTATGTTAGTAGCAAGGCATATTTGGCTCAAAATATCATTATTTTCACGAGTGTCGATACAAAAAATGTCACCATTTCCAACTTATTGGGAAAAGTAAAAAATATTTTAAAGAACATGTTTATTATGATCTGCTTTCTTTATGATATTAAAAATGGACCTTGATACAGTGAATTAATGCAAAGTCTAACTAACCAAAACTATTTTTTCTGAATTTTTTAATGAAACACCATATTTAACTGCTTGATCGTGTTCAGCTGCCCTTCTACGACATTTGTCAAGAGATTAGTTACATCATTAAAGACGACGACTTACCGTCAACACTAATACTCGTATTGGAATGGATATACGCCTTTGGCTTGGGAATAGCCCGCAGCATATAGTAATCCAAATGAGCCCACACCAAGTACAAAGCGTTCTCGATAATAAACGCGCAATACTCCATCTCTTGCTTCTTCTTCTCCAACCGGTCCGCCACTATCTCGTACGCCTTCTCCCGCTTTATGGCCAAATCGCACAAGTCCAAGGAATCGCCGATGAAAGGCTTGAGGTCCACCGAATTCATGTCCTTAACCTCATTAATTTTTCTACTCAATAAATCGAAAGTCACTTTCTCCTGATGCTGATAGTTCACTGCACTTATGAGATGCTGCACGACCACGCCCAAACTGGATTCTTGTTCGCTCCCGTTCCCGACAAATTTGTTTTGTTGCGTGTTCAGCAGTGGATCGCTAAGCGTTGGCAGAAATACCACGCCCACACCGCCGTGCTCTATATCGTGATTCGCCACTATATTTCTGGCGTAGCACAGCAAATTGGCGGCGACTTGCATGGCGTGAAGTAACCTCTCCGATGTTTGGAACGAATTTTTGTCATTATTGGAATGACTGAGTAACTTCCGTACATTGTCGTCCGACAAAATAAACTTGGTCAACAAAGCGAGCATCAGTCTCTGTATACGATAAAGATGTGCTCTGTTGCCCTGCACAATGTTGGGATTCTCCAGCACGTTGATCAAGTCGTTGTTCGCCGTTCTCGATATTACGGACGTCAGCAACGCTAGTTCCTTCAGACACATGGGCGACAGTTCCGTGTGGCCAGATCTGAGCACGAGCTCCACCACGTCCAAGTGGCTCAATAAAAAGTACATAACTTGGGCTACGGCGGATTGATTCTCGGTTCCTAACGTGGTGAGGATCGCGTTGCAGACGTTCAACGTTGGCATCCAGATTTGGAGGTACTGCTGCTCGACGCTGGGCAGAAAATCTTCCAGAAGCTCCTCCTCGCCTTGCCAGTGCTTGGATACCTCCGGGTGGTAACCGAACACCGTCATATTGCTGAACACGCCCAACAACTTTTGCTCCAACAAAAATTCCGCGCCCATTCTTGACCCCGCCAGCCTCGCCACGAGCAATATTTTGGCCAGATAAAGGTACAGGGGTTTCATCGTCTCCGCGTGCGGCTCGAGCGTGATTTTTAAATCTTGATCGCTATCCAGCAAACTTTGAATGATATGCTTTAAATATCCCCTACTGGAGAGGTAGATTATCCAATTGACGTTACCCGATAGGGTTATCAGGTGGCTGTATGCTGACATGGCGAGTATTTTGCAAATCTCTTGACCTCCTATACAGTCGTGGCAAAGGACCTCGACGAGTTTCTCCGGGAACGCCGACAGTATGTCCGCCGACATTTTGAGTTGGTTATCCTTGTCTCTCGCGCTGTACCGGGAGCTGTCCAACCTGCTGACGTAGAGACTGCCGTCGAGGTTTATCTCGTCGTGGTGCGGTTCGACGTTGACGATTTGCAGCAGCGTCACGAGGGCCGCGTACAAATTGATGCGCAACTCGCCGTCGATGACATCCGAAACTATAATCCACCGCACCAAGTCCAACATGATGTTCTTGACGGAGCTGAAGTAGTAGGTGAAGATGTTGAAACTGCTATCAATGTCGGTCTTGATTTTTTTGAACTTCCGCTCGCGGAAGTAGCAACGCTTCATGTTATCCACCATGAGCAGCACGGCTCCGGATACGTACCGCACCACGTCCGGCAGCAGGTCGGTTTTGGTGACCCGTTTCAAAAGACTCAGCGCCAAGCTCAGCGTCACGATCTGCTGCTCGTTGGTGGTGACGACCTCCGGCGGGATGCGGGTGACGAGAATTTCCGCCACCTGCCTCCACGCGTCCGCCAAGTCGACCAACGCGGAACTGTACTCCGCTTGTTTGTTCAGGTTCAAAGCGTACTTCAAAACTTTCGGAATTTCCTGATTTATGGCCTGGATTTGGCCGATCGCGGCAGTGCCTTGAAGGTTCTTTAGCTCGTCATACAAAATCTGATGAAGCTTCTTCAAATCGATCAATTTTGGCGGTCCTTTCCTCCGACAACCGTTTAGGATTTGGTTTAACGCGTTGTTGTCGAAGAACTCCCACGCGGGCGCCTCTACCGACGGCCCTTTGAACTCTAAATGTTTAATGAGATTGGTCATGAAATTTTCCAGCTTAATATCGTTCGTGGTGATGATCCGGCTTTCGAGCAGACTTTTCTGGATCAGGGAAAACATGTCGTCCGCTCCCGCGCCCTCGCGCGGTACGTTCGTCAAAAACCCCATCAGGTGCTTCAAATACGTAATCTGTTTCGTCTGGCTGCACACCTTCAGTTCGATCGCTAACGTCTTCAGCAGCCACGCGATCTGCCTGGACTCGTGCACCCCTTTCGGCAGATTCTTTTCGCACGCCGTCAAATGATCGCGGAAGAAGCTCTTGTTTAATCGGACGAACCTTAAAACGGGCCCGCTAGTTTTCACGTTGGTCGCCAGCAGATAGAGAAGATGGTACGCGGACTCTAAGAGATCCGGGGGCGGGGCCTCCGCGAACTCGTTAACTGCCGAATCTAACAGGGAGAGCAGGGAATGCAAGCACGTCCGGGGAAAATCCATCACGCCCGGATACTGAAACTCCGTTTTCGATACGTCCCGCTTGAGATCGAAGCCCATGAGGAAGTGAGTTAAGTTAGGCGCACCGTAGCCCAGGCACTGCTTTAGCAACTTAAGGGTCTCCTTCTTGGAGTTAACTATCGTCTCCGCGTCGTCACCGACCGCGTCCAGGCACTCGAAAAATCCACTTTTGAGGACCTTTTGCGAATCCTCGAGCGACAACAAAATATTCATGAACTGATTGTGACCGACGGGCGATGACGTGATGTGACACAAAATCTTGACTGCCACGTAGGCGTGTTTCGGCAAGTACAGCTGATACGTCACGTACTTGGCGATGTTAATACAATGATCCGGTTTGCCGCTACGCCGGTTCAAAGTCAACAATAGCTTGTTGATGCTGGTCAACACCAATGAGGCGGACGATATCGCCAACACGCTGAATATTTTCGGTTGCAGCGCGAGCGCCCTATGGACGATGTTGAGGCACGCGAGGGTGCAATCCTTGACCCGCTCTTGACCTTTGAAAGATACGTAGGAGTCGAAAAAACGATTCCCGTCATCGATAACGTCCAGTATGACGCTCAGCGTTTCGGTTTTGTTATTTAATTGCACCATCAGGTGATAGCCCGGCGGCGAATTAAACTCCACCCCCGAACTCGTCGGAAAATCGGACACTTTCGGGTCGTATTGATTCAAGAACTTCTCGAAAAGCTTCAGGCATAGTAACGCGACGTCCCACTTCTCCGCCGCGTCTCTATATGACCTGGAATGGTACTTTAGAAACACCGAGTTGACGATGAACGAGAGATACGGGTCAAAGCCAGGTTTCCTGGGACCGGCGCCCAAAGTTCTCGGTATGCCGAAGTTCGTCAGCGTGTCGATGAGCTGCAGCAGCGCTCTGGTCAGCGGATATTCTTCCATACGCGACTCTATCTCCTCCAATTCGGTCTCGATACCTCTGGGAGCGTAACTGGACGTGGTGGGAATCGTGACGAGTATTTGAGAAGCTTCGAGGTTCTCCCACATTTGGGTGGCGTTCTCGGTACTCTTGGACAAAGCAGCCAAGGTCAACAGTAAGTCGGCTTTGAGGGGAATCGGCACGGAACAGCTGACGAGGCCCAGAAGTATGGTCAGAGGTGACCAGCCCGGATGTTCGCACATGGCTAGGCGCGAGAAGTCATCATGCTGGGCTACAGTTCTTATTAAGAGCAATACCGCGTGTAAGCCTGAAATATTTCAAATAACTTAGACAGTTTCTTAATATATGCGCGAACTCCCTTAGTTATAACTAAACTTCGCCTCTGGCGTTTTCTGAACACAAATTATACAGGATTTTATTGAAATGACATCAGAATTTAAAATAAATAAATAAAAAATCTGGAAACCACCCCAATGCCGAGTCGGTACAAATAACGTCAGTATCTAAGGAAAATTTTCAATAATTATAAATTTAGGTGGCACATCTTCAAGTGCAAGGAGTAGATTTCCCGCTGCCTGCTTTCCCTTAGCCGGAAACAACGAAAAGAACTAACGACTTATCTCAAAAAAAGATGTACCTGTATATAGGCCCAGAATTCTAGCTGAGTTAGAAATTTTGAACGGATGTTAGTTATCAATCCAAAAATTAAAATCTTTGTTATTTATGAACTGAGTTCTATGGGTACCAAAGACCGGCAATTGTGTCTGGGTAATATTTAGTTTTTTCACCATCAGGAATAATTTAATTGTTAGTCATCTGCAGACTGATAAGAATTGCAGAAGTTTAAACAAAAAATGAAAAATGGGCTATATAAACTGAAAAAATTAGGCGCCTTGGGGAAATCCCCTATCAAGTAATTCAACCTCCCCCACTGCGTTCTAGATTTAAGGTAAGACTTAAGAAGGTTAATGCTGTCCTTACATACACCGAGGTATTTGAGCATTTAAAAAAAAATTAAACCTTATTCCCAAACTTGCTTAAACAATAATTGTGACACTACCTTCTAGTTCTTGAGGAGATACTCCTTTGTGATAACCAGGTCTATTTCTGTATACGGTGTCTGCCTGCGGTGGCGCTTCTTGTCTCAGGTTAATGTAATATTGTGAAAAGGATAAAAAGAAGTGGTCCCAATTCAATGTCGGACTCAAATGCACCTGTTTCAACATGTTGAAACAGTGCCGAGCGGTTTGAGGCGACGACGATAGACCGCTCAACATTTTAATAAATGGCACGAATAGGGTCGAGGGAAGCATTTCCCCTGAAAGGAAACTTATGATGGTCACAAAAACCAACTCCCTTATTCACCTTAATATTTAAAGTAAATTAAATAAATGCTTACCTGCCAATCTTATAAACTTAAATAATGACACAGATCTTTGAGGAACTCTAATATTAGTTGTCTGGTTGGGATTGATTTCCATTGGGCTCCAGTAACTGGACATGTAATCATTTTCCAAAATATTGTTAGAATACAACTTTCCTATGCTGAGTAACAGATACTCAAAGTAACGTGGCAAAGTCGCTGGTGCCTCTAAGCCCTCGCGAATATAGACTTGCATCGTTCTAGCAATTTCATTTGCCCTCATTCTCAAGTCCTTCACTTTAGGATACATGTACACCAGAAAGTCTGTGAGTAGGGTGTGAATTCGTTTGTACAAAAATTGTTCTTTGAATAATGTGCTGTTTTCCAAAAAAATATTATGCAAAAATGTAAAAACATTCATTTCTATAGAGGCATCAATTAAAATTTCTTCCTTATTTATAGCTTCCTGGAACATATAATTTTGAGGTACAACATGCAACGATGCAACGCACACTGATAAGCCAAATGTTGAAATGGCCTGGAGGCCTGAAAAAGATAATACATTAATGTCAACTTTATTTCATACATCATCAAGCAGAATACCTTCACTAACCCAATTGGGTTTTCCTGGTAAAATTTCATTAATAATGGCGGATATGTAACTAGGATCAGATAAAACGGGCAATGATTGAACAATTTCTTCACCATCTTCTCTAGTGTGAAGAATACTTAAATCAAGGGCAGACAACAGCCCCATCTGTAGGTACAAGTTTACATCATCAATAACACCAGATGATTCTTCTTCTAATTTGACTTCACGTAAATAGCTAATGAGAGCTAATGTGGGCTCTTTCGGCAACCCCCGCTGGGATGCCCAAGAAAAAACAATGTCTGCCAAGATGTTTCTTATATCATTAAATAAATCTGTTACTTGTCTTCTGTGCTTAGGCCCACCCAGAGCCAAGTTTTGCTGCAACTTTTCAAACTCTTTACTAAGGTCTAATGTCCTCAATAGTTCAAAAATTCTATTAAATAGACCTCCTTCTAATAACTGGTCAGTGTAATTGGTTATAAAGAGAGCTAGTTCAGGGTCAATATTCACACTCCATTGTATACCAGTCCTGGCCTGCACTAAATATAGTAAGCTGGTTAACAGTGCTTTACGCCCATCGTAATACAATAAAACTGCTACCAACCCTCTGGGCAAACCTGGGTAGTAAGGCATCTGAATTTGCGCTGTGCACAGCAAATCTAAAGCTATGAACTCATTGATATCAAACATATCTGACAATATAACCGTTTCTTGGAATAATTCTTTTGATAAAATCTGATGACCTATACCTCGAACAATAATACCCTCAACCATGCCTTTCTTAAGTTCTTCACGATTTTTGGCATTTTTTGGCTAAAACTGGCAGGTTACTAAACCTCGAAGTTAATAATAATGGAATACTCACAGGATTTTGTAACAAGCCAAAAAAACTTTGCTTATGCTTCTTGAGAATATTTTCAAAATCAGCCGGGGGTAGATCTGCCTGCGTTTGGTTCAAATATTTCCAAACGACACCTTTTAGCTCTTTATAAGAATTCCATAAGTCATCGGCACCGCTTAATGACATTATTTTGCCTTAATTATATGAGAAATTAAAATATACATAAACACAACCGGCCAAAACTAATTGACGGTTATAAAACCATAGATAAATATAACATTCTTGAAGAGAAAAACTAACCTTCGCACAGAATACTTCTTCTTTTATTCTTACTTTAACAACGCTAGGCACGCTTACCAAGGTCATTAGTTCTTCACCAGCATCCATTAAAGATTTTTTTTTATTTCAGTCTGAATTGATATTAAATAAACAGCTCCTCCAACTGCGACCGCGAGTCATCTGACATTCATTGAATAACATCAGGTTTTACACCAATAATAAGATACAATAATAATATAAACGTAGACTTTTTTAGGCGAATCCTCGACGTGTGTAATGGGCGAGTGTCCCTAACCGTTTGCACAACGTGTCAAAATAACAACAACAGGGAACAAAAAGGGGGAAACCCCGTACACATTATTCCAATTCCATATAGGGTTTTAACAAAGACGGTATCAATAGAAAGACTTTTACTGATAAGAAAAAATATTTTTGGGATAAATAATGGCCTTCAGATGTTAAGTAGAAATTTGCGATAACTTTCATTTTTCTAGGAGGTTTGAAAGTTTCATGACATCTTGCATTCGGCATAATATCTAATATTAATTGGTATTTGCACAGTGCATATACATGCATTATAGTAAACTTCCTAAAAATTAGTCATTAATAATGTATGTAATGCTCCAGATGTTGTACAATATAATATGAAGGTGTTTTGTTTTGACATAGCATTATTTTATGTCCAATAGTTCTCCTTAAAATAAAAATATTTTTACAATAACAATTATGCAGAGAAGTCGCTCGTGATGTGAACATACCTAAGCATAAGCATATTCAAAGTATTATTGAAAGTTTATTTCTAAGTTTTCATAATATATTTAAAAAATTGAGATTTCATGGTGTATATAAGTTCATAAGAAGTTTTCTTAAAATTTTATTTTAAATATCTATTCACATTGAGTTAGGCAACACTCAGTATACTGGCAGGTGTTATATATATGAACCGCAAAAATGTATTATTTTGTTTGCTCCATATGGCTCACTTCACTTCGCTTAGATAAGACTTGTTCCATTTTGTCTGCTCAGTATTACCTAATTCCAGACCCATATTCGGTTCACCATGAAGTATTTTTATTTTTACTTTCGGCCTCTAGCAATTTTTGGAAAACTTGTGGGGAGCTTTCCCATTCAGAATGCATTTTCCTCGGATCCGTGTCAACTCAAGTACAGTATCTTCAGTGTCAGTTTTATCTATTGCATGGCATTTCAAATCGGTCTCACCTTTACGTTGTACTACGTATCGGGATTCCATTTTCAAGTGGACAATTTCGACTTGAAGTTTGTGTGGCTGCTGGTAACATTTATGATCATCCGCTCGATTGTGGCGTTTAGCCTAAATCTGCTGGTACAAGGGAAAAGAATGCCCAAGCTGATTCAGTTGCTTCATATCTTTGATAAACGGGCAGAAGATGTGTTAATATTTAAAATTCGATCGCCCCTCGTGCAGATACTTAAGGAATCCGTATTGCCAGTGACGGTAGGCACATTTCTCCTGCTGGGATATGGAATCGAAGCCAGAGAAGTGGCGAGAAAAATATATCCGTTTGACGTATACTACGAGAAAAAATTTGGAGCCGACACTGTGTTTGGAATGTTGGCGGTTTGGCACATGATTCCATTCGCGTACTATCTCTTTTTGGCTACGAAAATATATTCCGGGTTTCATCATATCAATCGCACCCTCGTCAAGAAATCGTATTTCGGAGACTACACCCTATGTGCGCAAAAATTTAACAGTTTGGTAATGGAGAAGGAGCTGAGCAGCTTTCGATGCCTGCACAATTTGTTGTCCGAGGCAACCGCGGAGCTGGGCAAGTGTTTCGGATCTTTTATAAGCTTGGAAAAAATGTTTATTATCGGAGCGGTGGTGATTAATCTGACGGCTTTCTTGTACGAAATGCCGCGAGAGAAACATTTGCTGTTTTTAACTTCTATAAACATCTTTATCTCGGCCATGGCTACCATAGTTTCTCACAACATAAAAAGCAAAGTAAGTATTTTTTGCAATAATTCTTTATATAAGATATGTTAAAAGTTATTTGAATATTTTTTCAGACCATATTATTAAATCATTTAGTCTTGTACACCCAGGGCCCTTTTACCTTGAACTATCAGAAGTATACAGAAGTTCTATTTTAGTATGCATTATGCGCAGTTATAGTATAATATACGAGATGTCAGTTTTTTAATGTTATATGGTGGTAAATGGCCGTTCCAGTCTATTCTAGTCTATGGTTTGTGTGCCTCTTCGTTTCACATCTACATCTCAAAAGCAGTAATTGTTTTGGGCCGTGTTTTTGTTACTGTCCACACTTCCATACCATATACCTGTATATTGAGCAATATAATATTTTAAAAGTATACGTTATTCTAAAGTACTTTTGGGCCTTAGATTTTTTAAATATTTTTTATGAGTTGTGAGACAAGGTGTGTTTTTTTTATACTTCTGTTATTTAAAAACAAGCAATTTATGAAAAAAGCAGTGGCGCATCACTAAAATACCTATCTACGATTGTGGATTACATTTTAATAATTTGTTTAGTTTGACTATTTTCCTATCTAGTGTTCCGAAAATATATTTTAAATGTTGAACACTCTGCATCCCGTAATCTATAATATATATTTTTTAATTTTAAACATACTTCTTGTACCGAAAGTCCCGCAACAATACCGGAGATAAAAAAATTGAATAAATTTGAAATTTTACATATAAAATAATTGAATAGAACTTCCGGCTTTATAATAATTGGAAAATATTGACAATTGGTTGGTTTGTATCTAGTATGCGGAGTATTTATAGTAGTTTAAAGAATTTTATTTTACAAGAGCAGATCAAATTGACGTGTTGCTTATTTCCGGCGAGTAGTACTTGGTTGGAGCATCAATTGAAAAATCAAAATCATCAACAATTAAAAACAATTATATTGTAAATGAAATGTCACGAAAGTGCAAGAAAAATGTTGAAAAAATATGGTTTCAATTCAATGTCAAATACATCAACATCTGTAAGAAGCTGACTTTCATGACAGGCTTGGACTAAATGTTTGAGTTGGGGTTTTAAGCGATCGGTTTATTGGAGCAATTTTTTCGCAATTCTCTGCCTTTTGTTGGAAATTTACCTCTTTATTTCCTAGATATTAATAGACATCTAGATGAAAATCCAGAGGAGAACTGGATTAGACTTTTTACTGGTAGCCGCATTCAAAAAAAGAACTATATAACGCCACCTGAGGACGATCTGATAAATCAAATTAATGAGGTCATAAGAGTAATCACTCGCTAATATGTAGTATGTGTTTTCATTTATTATCTCGTCAGTCAGTTGGAGATTGTTTTTATGTTATTATTTGTTACTCTCAATGTTTGTTTCGATTGTTTTTTATTCCAAATTGAACAGAGAATAATAAAAACAAGACTTTTGGAAGTTTTTGCGGACAACTGTTACAGCGAAAGTATGTTTTTTTTGCACGTTTATCAAATGGTATTCTATAAAAAAAATACTGTTATCTTTTAATTTTTCGGTTTTTTTGATTTTTCCTTTTTTACATGGACTGAGGAAAAACTATATATTGAATTTTTTTAACCCAAAACTATTAGAGCTATCGAAAAAAGTTAAAGAACATTTCCTACTTGGATTTACCCGTAAAATATATAAAAGTAGAAAAATATACAGGGTGTTTCATTGAAAACAAAGGCCAAATGGGAACTGCTATTCAATTGCTTTTTATGTGAAGGTGTTTAGTTATATAAAATTTCTAAATGCAAATTTATACATTTTTTTACAGAGCTAGTAATTTCATTGACACTCGGTATATAGAGTACGTTTGAGAGTTCCAGTTCCAGTAGAGAACTCTGCAACTCACACATCCCTTTATCAATTGTAAATAGACTAGTTGTTTCCCGAAATACATTAAGGGGCCATTAAAACAACACAAAAATCGCATTAGCCAGGCATATGGCCACTCGAACCATTCCTTACATTTCCAAACCTCCCCGTTCCAAATCAGTGCTTTCGCGGTTTTCACTGCCGACAACAAAAATGACGTTTTACAGATATTTCCGTTTCGTTGCGTTGTTCGGTAATATCTGCGGGTGTTTGCCGCTGCAAAACGTCTTGAATTCCGATCCGTTTATGCTGAAGTACAAAATATGCAGTTTTCCGGTCTTTTATAGCTTGTTCATTTACTGTTCGTGTTTTTCGTTGATATTTTTCGCATCGCCGTTCCATTTGGACTATTCGACGGACACCGAGGAGATAATATTAAAATACGTTATGGGTTTGATGGTCGTACGATCGCTAGTGTCATTTATTCTTTGCCTGGTCTACACCAGGTACGCTCCCAAACTGATACAGCTAATAGAAACGTTCGACAGGCTAAGAGATAACAACGTTCCTCAGCGTTCCTCGTGTAAAAAGGTCTTGAGCCATGTCGTTTTGCCCATTACTCTCACGTCCGTAGCTGCGTTCATGTACGCTTCCATCTCACGCGCACTAGCCAATGAAATCTACCCTTACGTACTTTCGGACGGTGGCGGCATTTCCTTTGGTTTGATATGCTCTTGGGTGATAATTCCTCCGTTGAGTTGTATACTGTTTGCCTTCAAAATCGCGGTGGGATTTCACCAGATCAACAAAACCCTAATAGAAAACGGATTCGGCGGTAACTATTTCTGTCGCCACACGCCGATGATGTTCGAGGAGGACATGCTGGCGAGGATGAGGATTCTTCACAACTTGTTGTCGGAAGCCAGACATTCCCTGCGAAACTGTTACGGCACGTTTATCGCTTTTAACCGGGTGTTTATTGTGTGCGTGTACGTGGTTAACATAAGCGCCTACTTTTACGCAACCCATAATTCAGTTGCTTTGCTTCTGGCGACTGTCGTCGATACCATATACATCTGGATTATGATTGGAACTGGTCACGCCATAAAACACAAGGTACGTCGAGGTTTCGGATGTCACTGTCATTTTGCTGTTGAGGTTTGTACATCGTCAACATCTCTCCACCCTTCCAATTCAACGCTATAACGATGGAAGGAATAAACTATCCAGTAAGAAAAAACGGTATAATGGCTTATAAGCACCCAATCTTTATCAAAAATAAATAAATATTAAAAATTAAGCACAACCAAATGAATATTTTTATTATCATGTAGGCTTTGCGAAGGTATTCCGTCTTTTGCTTTTTTATTGTCTTGGCTAATTCCAATTCCTCGTTCATTCTTTGCACCCAACTGATCTTCGGCAGCCGCTCATATTTTACAAAAGCAGATCAAATTGACGTGTTGCTTATTTACGGCGAGTAGTACTACTATGCATATAATATACTATACTACTCATAAACTCACACTTCAAATGACTGCATCCATTTAAGCAGGGCCTTTGTTGGTGTCCGAACCCCCGCCATCTTCCTGATTCTAATGGACGGGTTCCAGGGTTCATTAATGGTGCTTCCTAAGTATGTCAGTTTAATAACTTTGTGTTTAATTTATGTTTAGTTTTGTGTGAGGTGGAGTTTCACACAACTGTTTGTCAGTATTAGCGTATCCTCAGCATATCCAAATGTAGATTGAAAATTAGCATTGATTTGCACAACCTTTCATTGTCGTAACTTTGATCAAAAACGTTCTCAAAGTCCCTTGCGATCAACAGTGTCTCGCTAGCTCAGATTGCATATTTTTGTGTACGTCATACATCCTCTTTGTCAGGCACATTGCCATATAACCTAACTATTATACTTCGTTCGACTGTGGCCCCAAGATAGTAACACGGGCAAAAATGATACGCCCTTTCGTTACCAGAGACCTGCTAGAATGTCAACTATGAGATTTACTAAAAACAATCTACCAAAGCTTGATGTCATTTTCTTCGTCACTAGAACTCCATTTCCTATAAAACGTTTTTTTCCAGGCCGCCAAGGTGACGCGTCTATTTCAAGGAATTCCTTTGTCTTCATTGAGCGAGAAAAGCAAGGCTGAGGTGAGAAAATTCTTTTACATTACATACATCTCAGTCAGTAATCATTCTTAAAGATTTATTACTACAGACACCAATCCCACTTTAGCTTTCGGACTTTCGCATGCGCAGTTATATATTTACAATTATCACGAGTAAGCTAGAAAGCCAAAGTAGGACTGATGTTAGAAAAAAGTTGATACACACATCTAAGGTTACCACTAAAACATTGTTCTTATAGATACAAATGTGGTTGTTGCAACTAGCTGTGGATCCGGTTGAAGTGTCAGCAGCGGGCTTTTTTGTCTTGGACAAAAGTCAAACCATTGAGGTAAGTGAGAAATGAATATATAAAGGAAACAGTTTATACCGGGTCACACAAAAAAGTGCGAACACTGTAACTTTTAAACGGCTTGAGTTTAGCGATTTGAAATCTGGAAGGGTCAATATAGGCCGAATGTTTGAGCGGAAAGGCAGTAACTTTCGAATTTTTAATGGTACAACATATTTTTTTCCATTTTCGGATTCAGGCGATCATTCTACGTAGGATAGGACGGTTTTTGTGTCTAGGAGGCTGTGACCATCATAAATACTATTTACTGGGTCACCTGATCATGGGAAAAATTGTAAATGAAACTTTACTTGTCTAATGGCAAATAGCATTTAATGTAAACACTATTAGTTTTTAGGATAACCTAGTTTTTTTAAATAGCACCCTAGTGGGAACAAAAACTATTTAAAACTGGTACTTTTTTTGCAACATTTTGACACCAAAACTTTCAAAATCAGTTAAAAAATAAGCTCACAGGAAGGAAAAAAAACATATAACATTTTTATGAAAACAAAATATTACTTAGGTGGCTCATCATCATGATTGAAAATTCTGACAGTTGGTGCATTTTTATCTGATTATCGATTTGGATAATCATGGAAAACATTAATCAATTTACAAATGGAGAAAAAGTTGATATGTTTCTGATATACGGGGAATGCAGAAAAAGCTTGACAGGACGTCGCCTTCCTGCACATGCTTTCTTTAGAAAGCTGGAATTGAAAATTAGAAATCTAAATATATACTATATTTAATTTTATTACATTATTTATTAGGCAAGTGGTAAATCTGGTTTTGACGTTATATTTCTTGAGAACTTAAGTATGTTCAGTGATGTTTTGAATGTAAAGAAGGACAATAGTGGCAAGTTTGGGATTGCTTTCGGCTTCATTGCCATTGGAACGTTGTGGTGAAGTGTATTTTATGATGAAACGCTTAATATCTTTAATGTGTAAATTATTAGTCCAAAAATCTCTCAACATTTTCCATCCGTCAAAGACAAAATTCCATTTGAGATGCCAGGAGCTTACAGCATTCCATGCATATGCGGCAAAGAATACATGGGAGAGACCGGACGAAAAATATTAACTAGGCTCAAAGAACATGAAAGAGCCTCAAGATTAAGACAAATAAACTCATCAGTAGTTACCGAACATAATCACGAAACCGAACATAAAAGTTTATTCGATAAAACTAAAATTCTACCAACGAAAAATCCGAGAGTCTATAGAAATCTATAAACAACCTAACAATCTTAACCGCAACTCAGGCCTTTGCCTGTCACCAATATGGGAATGAGTCATCCGAGATGGTGTTTATGCCTCTCATTTAGCTTCGCCCCCCTGAAACAATATAAAACCAGGTACAGAGTAAAATGCGAGCTAGTTTTAGTCAAGCTCTGAAGAAGCCAACAGGATGGTTGGCGAAACGTTAGCAAGGTCGACTCTACAAAAAGTGATGCAGAAGGAATCCAGAAGATTTATAAAACGTATTACAGTAGCCTGTGGAAGTTTCTTTGAAAAATATCACTATACTATAGCTTACAGGTTGAACCCTCAAAAGGAAACAGCTACCAATAAAAAACAGTTTCTGTGTGCAACTGCTTCCTCGGCGTGAGTGGAACGAACTTTCAGCAATTTTGGTTTTTTACACTCAGATATAAGAAACAGGATGGAGATAGAAAAAGGGGGAAAATTGGTATTTTTGTTCAAACTATACAACGAAAACACAGAAGCATAAAGTATATATTATTATGTTAATTGTCTAATTTTTTCAAAGAGTTTGTGTTTCATTTTTTATTTGTGATATGTTTACTTTGTTCTTTTTGTGTTCGTCTGAATAAAAAACAATTTTAAAAAATAGGAGTTTCATTTAAATCACTTGAATAAAATCAGTCCAACCCTGCCTGGAGTTACCAAATACAAAATAATGTGACATGCATAGTGACAAAAATCAATGAATGACATTATGTCGAAAGTTGCCATCGGAAACACCTGCAAAGGATGCTAAGAATCTGTGGATTAGAGCGGTTTATGGACCAAAAGAAGCGATACCTTAAAAAAACGTACATATGAGAATAAGAGTATCCATTCAATTTTCATTTGCAACTCTTCAAGATTTCCCTGGTCTTTAAAATAAAATTAAAAAATATTTGATTTGGGCGGAAAATTTGAGACAACAATAAATGCCTTCGGCACCCGACGCATGGAAAAGAGTTAAGAAAGTTGGGTTGTGATTGTTTTTGCAAATAGTTAACCACAACCACCACTAGCTTTGTGGAATTAACCGGTCAACTTTTTTTCTATTATACAATGAGCTCGCGTCTTTACTTAGATGGCTGCCTAGGTTATTACATTTATCAACGAGTAAATTAGACATTTTTTTGCCAGTCGTTAAAATCGGACAAACACAAATACACCCAAAGCTCCCGGTGGGAATCGAACCCACAACCTCCGGCAAGTAACCGGTCAATTTTTGTGTCAATTGACCGCAATAATCTTAAAAAATACAATGAAATTTATATTTATTTATATTATAATATATAGTGTATAACTAAATGGAGTCAATATTTTTATTTGGATTCCCCGAATCGCCAAATATCACATTCGGGTATGCCTTGAAGAGGGTTATTTGTAAATTGGACATCACAATCGCATATTAATTTATGACAAAATACAAATTATTATTAAATAATGATAGATAACACTCTACAATTGCAAGATGTTATTTAAAACATTGTCATCTAATTTGACTAGTCAATTAAGAAGTGGTCAATTGACAAGCCCCAACACTAAGTGCTACTATTTTTCCGTAAAAAATTAACCAAAAATAATTACCGAATGCCAAGAAGACACTTGGATCATAAATTGATTGGCAGGAATGAAATTGACAAATACAAAAAAATCTGCTGGTTGAGCAATAAACTTTTTTAACTTTTAAGAGAATGCTTTGATTAGTCCGACCTGATGAGATGATGAGAAAGACAACATTAGGGGTGGATAGTGTCCCTTCTTTTCCCGTTTATGTTCCTTTCGAATACTTACCATAGAGAAATTTAAAATAACTGTTAAAATAAAAGGGCACTGGGATGTGTTGGTTGGTCTTGGTATTTTCTTTTTTGGTCGTTCTTTCATTCTTCAAGATTTCAAAATAAAATCTTGAAACGTCGAAATTTACACACAATTTGTTATTAAATAATTTATTAACAGAAGCACATTGTTTTGCTATAAAATTACGCTCTTATTCGACAGTTTCGGCAAAGAAAAAATTCGGTAGGTTTACGCCAATCCGATGGGCTTCGCTTAAAATAAAAAAGTATTACCCATTGAAGGTTTCCGCGAATTGGGTCAGAGTCGAATCATTACACGTTTATCTTTTTACACTGAACGAGGGATAGCAGCCTACGACACGGTTTTCTCTTTTTCGGCTTGGGCCTGCACCACCCCAGCCCGTAATAAATAACGACTAAAGATAGAAAGACTAGAGCGGTGAGAGTAATATCGAAACTTTCCGTTGTTGTTGGCCGATCGGCCGGTTTGTTCCTCCAGCTCCACTCAACCAATTCCCCACCGTGATCGACACCGGCCTCGTCTGCAATTGGATTAATCTAACGTTAAATGCAGGCAAAGTCCTTTTGCAATGGCAAAATATGAAACTAAATGAATTTGTACTGGATTTCGGGAAAAATCTTCGCACAGGTCTATCATAATTTTTTCTTGAGTATTTTTTGAAGTAAATAGAAAATATACAGGGTGGGTCAAAAAGTAGATTCCCATACCAAATTCCTTTTTTTAAATGAAACGCGATTTTTTTTACATCCATTTTCTGAGAGAAAGAATAAAAGTAAAGTTCTGAAATTGTCACCATTACATTTCAATCAGTAAAAAAAGTTAATGTAGCGCCTCCGAATGAAACTCAGAGAATTTAAATTTTAATTTTATTGAATTAATATTTAATTTGTTTGACGCAACATATCCAGAAAGACTAATTACAATTAATGGAAGCAAGGTATGCCCAAGAAATTATTTTATTAGGTGTTGAAAATGCTTACCATCAACTTCTTGATAATAGGCTAATGACAATGGGCTAATCGGTTTGAAATCCCATCCAAAACATTCTCTCTTAATTTTTCAATTTATAATAGTAAATTATGATGGACGTGTACGAGCATTCTTCTTGAAAGTAAACACTTCAATTTTAAATGAATTTGTATGGCTAATAGATAACATATAAGCTGTAATACGGCAAAATTGGTTGTTACACCTCAGGACGGTTGTGTTGTTACAATTTTCCTTAATTGGACTGAGGTGGCTTTTACTCGATGAAAATTCATTTAACACAATGTTAGAACAAAAAATGTTCAGGTGCTTAATTACAATTGTATGGTTATATATTTAAATTTAACAATGGAGACGCATTTAAAACGAAATTTTCATTAAGTAATAGATTCGAATTTCTCATTTTGTTAATCCCCATAGCTTTCAAAAAATTTAGTTTTTTTGCTTTTTGATTCATTATGTAAAATACCAAAATTAACGTCAAACTTGTGCATTTCTGAATGGCATAGTTAGACCTTTTATTTTTATACGCTCTTTTATGTTCATTAATGTGTTCTTAAATGTTCTATCAATTTGTCCGATATAAACTTTGGATCCACATTTCAACGTGTGGACTCCGGATTTTTGAGTTTTTCGTGATTTAGTTTTATTGTTTTCTAAAAAGTGTCCTATGGTATGGTGTCCTAGTCTGTAGATAAAAGAACCAACGGCAGCCATTTTGTGTGGGTGAGGGTGATGTGTCCGTGTGTGAGGGTTGTAATTTGTTCTGTAACTTAGTTAAATTAGTTAATTATAGAAAGTGTAAAGGGTTCTCTAGTTCCATCTCTATAGTAAATTTTATACGGTTATATATGGAGCTAATATAATTCAAAAAGAACTGTAGTTGTCTTTCCGTTCCAGTGAAGCAAGCAAAAACATCATCTACTTATCTAAACTACCAACGAAATTTTTTACTCAGAGGATGTTTATGCACAATATTTTCTACATTGTCTATGAAAATTTCTGCAAGTAGTGGACTAAGTGGATTTCCCATAATTAATCTTTCTTTAGCAATATAAAATTGACCATTAAATTCAAAATAATTTGGGTCTAAACAAACCATTAAACTATCTAACAAGTCATGTTTTATGATAGGGTTAACTTGTCTCTGAGTGAGAATATTGCCTATTACGTTTATTACGCCAATCAAAATAAACTATAATTGCCTTGGGAGGAAGTTTAATGTCTTAAACCTTGTTGATTAGTTTGAACGAATTTTTAATAAAATGTGTAGCTTTAAAGGCTATATGATATTTTTAAATTTTTATTAGTCCTGTTGAAAGTTTAACGGATGGTGATTACAAAAGAAACTACAGGTCTAATTGGCATATCCTGTTTGTGTAATTTAATTTAAAAACTGTTTGGTTTTTGTGATATATACTGCATTTGTAAATACTATATTATTTTGGCAAGCCCTATTTTTAATTGATTCTACCATAAGCATATGTGAAAGATCCTGAAATTTACTGTTAGTTAATAAGTGACTGCTTTTTACAAAACTTCTGGATTCCTCCTGCGTCGAACTTGCTGACGTTTCGCCAATCATCCTGTTGGCTTCATCAGAGCTTGAACTGAGGAAATCATTTAAAATGTCGAGTCTATCCTAAACAGGAGCCAGTTTCAGAAGAAGCCAACAGGATAATTGGCAAAACTTTAACAAGTTTTCAAGATTCAGTAATAAAATTAGAAAATTATTAAATCAAAATATTAAATTATTACTATTTACAAAACCGACTGAAACTCAAGCTCTGAAGAAGCCAACAGGATGATTGGCGAAACGTCAGCAATTTCGACTAAGCAAAAACCGACGCAGGAGGAATCCAGAAGTTTTGTAAAAAGCATTACAGTAGACTGTGGAAGTTTCTTTGTAAAATTAATAAGTGATTGTTTACGATATTGTCGTTATTACCGTTAATAGCAAAGTCGAAATCAATCATGGCTCAAAATTTATATCCGACAAACAGGTAGAACATTTAAGAAACGCATTAACGAATACAAAACAGTGTATAAAAATAAAAGTTCGGATCCTAACTATGCCATTCATTTAAATTCAGAAATGCACAAAAAAATAAATTTGTTGGAAGCTACGGAGATTAGCAAAATGACATGTTTGAGTCTATTGCTTAATGGATATAAATGTTTCTCCGCTGCTAAATTTACATTTATAATCCTACAACGATAGTTTGTTAGTTTACATATATAGATGTCAGAATATTGTCATATTTTGTATTTGATAAAGGCAGCGTGTTGCCAAAATACACCAACAAATAAATGTGAAAAACATTTTTTTCTTGTAATTTAATTGTGTTAAACGGATTTTCATCGAGTAAAAGCCATCTCAGTTCAATTCGAAAATATCTATCTAACTTTTACCCACACCACTTGGCACCGTTTTATTTAAAACAGATACACACTTAACTCGTTTTACCCTGAAAATTCCATCGGATCTCGCCTTACTTTAAGAAAATGTTGATTGAAAGCGTGGGTTCAGACTTGTAGTGGACCAGGTTACTATTGAAGTAACTTGACATTATGCGCGTATGAAATGTCTTTTTATAAATTTTTTTTGATGTTAGTTTCAATTGTAGCACATCATATGTAAGACCTGCATACGCATATCTAGTAAACTATATGTTCCAGAGCTAATCTACCATTTATTTACGGAGCGTTGTATGTAGCAAGAAACTAATATAAAATTTAGAACAGTATTTCTATAGGTACCAAAGAATAAACCGAATTTTTATATAAAACAATTTGAATTAACACTTAATCATTAAAAAATATTTTCCAAATGTTTGACAGTTTCACACAGGAAATGACATATTTCATGACTCAAAGAACAAATTTATCCGGAGAATTCTCAGACTAAAGTTTCGCTTTTGATTTTAATGTTACGAAAAAATTAAAACTTAACTATTATGCATATTTCAGGGTTAAATTCAAATAAGGCTTAAAATATAATATATATTTTTTTCTGAAACACATATCTGTTAATAATAATATCCATGTTTTCAAATTCTTAAATTTCATAAACCGTAAAGACTCCATCATATACCATAGTCATAAAACAAGGAAAACCCGTCACCCAACCGTCCATTTAAATCAGAGTCAAAATTAAGATTGACCTTCATAGCTGGTCCTAAATTTACAGAGTTCAAACGAAAATGTTTGGTCGTAAATTTCTTGACCAACCTGGACCAACAATGCTTGTCATTTTTTAGGTTAGGCGCAGCTCCATTGTCAATATACCCCTGATCAATCAGCGGACTAAAAAATCTGTCAGCAGAATTTTCATTTTTTTTTACATTTGTATCTTGACGTTATTATGATGTTTAATATGAAGTGATGGGACGCCTTTACCAATATCAATAACCCCCCAATTACAAATAATGGATAAAATTATACATATACAGCACCACCAGTTCCTATTACTGGCAATTAAAAAATATTTTTCATACAAAACATTTCTGCTGACCTTAATTGATTGAAAAAGAAAAACATTCGAAGACATTGCCATTCTCAAACCAAGAATAGGTTGAAAATGTATGTTAACTGTGGGAACAGTTTGATACTCATGCGCCGGCTCAATTCAACTGAGGAAAAAACGTAGACGCTCACCTTTTATAGTATTATCTAAATTAACAGGTACAACGTTAACATCTTCCATGAGCGAGAGCAATTTCTGCGACTGGTACAAATTGGACGGCGCGGACGCGTTTAACGGTATAGGGAACGCCCACACCAAATGGGGACACTGCGGCAATTGTTTGGGTTGCGCCTCTCCCAACTTGCCCTCCAAAACTTTCGAGAACCTGTGCAACTTGTTCTGGTCCATCCTTCGCGGTCTCTCCGTCTCCACGGTATCGCGCCATCCGCTCATTCGATTATCGCTAAAGATCGGCGGCAAATGTGACGTCGAGGTGTATTCTAGCATCGCGTTCAGCATCCAGTAGCAATTGGCTTCCAGGTGGCTTCCGTCGATGCAATTCGAGTCGCCGTATACGATGATGCGACCGCTACGGTCAGTCGCCTTCGATTGCAACAGGCCCAAGATGGGAGTTTTGTGGTCCGTTTGGTCTGGTTCTTCCAGTATCTGAAATACACGAAGAAAGGGATCGTCCTTAAAAACAGTCTGTTTTTTGTCTATGTAATGTCTTGGTTGGACGCAAAAGTCACAAAGTTAAATACGACGGATATATTCCAACATATTTTAGATTATTTTAGGGTATTACGAGAAGCCTTGGAGAATTGAGGGGAATTTTGAGTGCCCGTGAGGATTAAATCAGTAGCACAATGATGAAATACTAAGGTTTATGGGTAATACTATTTACAAAACTTCTAAATTCCTCCTGCGTCGGTTTTTGCGGAATTGAACTTGTTAAAGTTTTGCCAATCATCCTGTTGGCTTCTTCTGAAACTGGCTCCCGTTTAGGATAGACTCGACATTTGAAATGATTTCCTTGGTTCAAGCTCTGAAGAAGCCAACAGAATGATTGGCGAAACGTTAACAAGTTCGACTTAGCAAAAACCGACGCAAGAGGAATCCAGAAGTTTTGTATTAAAGTGGCCTGTGGAATTTCTTTGAAAAATTAGTTTATGTCTAATGTGTGAAAAAAATTACCGGAATTTTTTTTATTGTTAAGAACGTAAATGATAAACCCAAGAAAGATCTTCTCTGCATGTGTGGAATATCGTTCTGTTTGTGCAGTTTTAACAGTGTTGGCGTCCATGGATGGCGAGTTGTTGTAGAATGTTTATTATGTTAATGATTATTTATATAAAAAAAATTGTAAATCAAAAGTTTCGGGAATTATTCTCAAACAGTAATATTTTCATGTCAAACAAAGGGGTATCGAAAATGTATCCAAATAAAAACTTCTGGAAAATTCTAGAAATTGTTTTAATGATGAATTGATACATGATGATTTGTATTCTTGTATATTTATATTGATAATTTTTTTTTCCAGTTGGTTAGTTTGACGCATTGGTGTTTAGATTTTTTTATCGCCAAATGGGAGCTATCTTTACGTCAACCTTCGAGGTTTTCTGCATTTTTTTAGACTAAAGATATTTATTACTATCATATAATGATAATATCTACATTGTTTTTGTTTCACGCAAATGTTGGACCAGATATATTTTTTGAAAATATTGGTTGTATATATATATATATATATATATATATATATATATATATATATATATATATATATATATATATATATATATATATATATATATATATATATATATATATATATATATATATATATATATATATATATATATATATATATATATATATATATATATATATTAGATATCGCTTGTGACGTCACAAAATTATCGGAGTGGAACTGGAAATGAATATTGGGGTATTTTGGGGAACTTTTTCCAAAAAGCGACGTGTGTTAGTGATTTATTATGCCTCGCTTAAATAGCTACTTTTAGGGAATTGACCTTTCAAATGTTTGATTTTAAAAATACCATGAAATTTTTATTTATTCATATTGTGTGTTACGTGGCCATCGTGTCGATATTATTATTGGGAATCCCCGAATCGCCAAGTATCGTATTTGGGGATTCCTTGAAGAGGGTTATAGGTAAATTGGACATCAGAAACGCATTATAATTTATTATAAAATAAATATTACTATAAAATAATTGCAATTGCAATTACAATTGCAAGATGTTATTTAAAACCCAACACTAGCAACTTTAGTGATTATTTTAATCCCTCTATACATTTTGTTTAAATCTGCAATAAAACGCAGCCCAGCAATTTTCGAAAAATTTCTTAAGCAACAAACTTCATGATTATCATTTTCTGTTTTTAAATGAGTAACATCGGCTTGCGGTGTCAACTTTTTAGTTTCCAAAATTATTTCACAATGAATAATGCTAACTACGCGTCATTGCTGCCAATTAACTTTATGTTCGAAGGGATTTCGTTGACTAAATATATTTGGGTCGAGCTTGGTCAGCATTGTCAATAAAATTTTCCACCAAAATCAAATAGGATTTTTCGATTTGAATATCGGTTAGGGATGATATTTTTTTGCCTCATTTTCTTATTAATATGTGCTTGAATTACTACACTAGATACCTAATTTTTGCTCTTCAGTTAACAAAAGTGTTTTTCCTAAACTCATGATGTTTAATAATAATATCAAAGATCAAGGTACACAAGGCAATATGCGATTATTATACTGGGTGTTACAAAAAACATTCTGTTCATTTCAATCATGTAAAAAATATTGTGAATTATTTCGAAGTAAAATATTGTCAAAGGTCAAAGGTAGTCTAAATTGGTCTAGATATTTTAAAAAAATATATATTTTTTTGGTGCTGCTCTTACGACTTTCTGAAGGAGGCATTTTTAAAGTTATTTTTTAATAGTTTATTTGCCCCAGAAATTAGCGGAACATCCTGTGTATTTCTGCACCAAATGTAGTCAGAATTATTTATTACGTTTTTGTTGCGTGAAATTATTAATTTCGGTAATATTGAAGGCATAAGTTCTCCGGCACCTTCGCCAAATTTCACTTCCGATTCCTGATCCCCTATTTACCTGCGCCCCTTGATCGTTGAGAGCAGCACTTAGCAACACCCCATCTTTGGGAAACTCGTGTACGCTTGTGCCCGAAGCGTAGTACATTTGGTGGTCGTTCCATTTAAAATGTCCTTCGAAAACTCTATTGCCGAACTGTATACCCCACGAGGAGAGTAGTTCATTGAGTGCGGGCAGATTGGCCCCGCCCGTGTCGGGCATCCACCACTGCCTCGTATTTTCGTCATAAAACTTCACCTTTTTCATGACCGTCGTGTTGTACCAGTCGGCAAAAACGATCAAAGACAATCCAGAGTCGACGTCCCTTTTTAATTTTACTATTTCCTCGGGAAAATATTCTTCTTCTGGATCGACGATAAGCAAAGTGCCGTACTGGGATGCGTCGAAGCAATTGAAAGGCGACCCTGTTTCAGGAAAAAAAGTTTCTCGAGTTGTCTAAAATATACAGTGTGTCCGAGATAAAGGTGCAGAGCATGGGGATATCACGCAAACCATAAGTTTTTTTTTTTAATTTGGGAGTGAATATGCCTTTGAGAAGTCTTCCTTAACAAATGCTAAAGCCTAAAATTCTGAGTCATGGTGAGACCGTTCAGAAAATTTACAAATAAACATCGTCCCGGATGAATGAGTCCCATTTGGTGACTGGTAAACACCTGAGTCGCGGTTAAGATTGTTTGGTTGATTATAGACTTCTATGTTCTCGGATTTTTCGTTTGTAGAAGAATTGATTATATGAAAGAATTGTAGTTTCATTGAATAAAATTTTATGTCCGGTTTTGTGATTGTGTTTGGCAACTGATGATGCGTTTATTTGTCTTAGTCTGAAGGCTTTTTTATATTCTTTGGGCTGATATGTTTCGTCCTGTCTCCATTTGCAAGGAATGGTTTTCCAAATGGAATTTTGTCTTTGACGGATCGAAGATGTCGAGAGATTTTTTGAATACGAGACAGTGGTGCAATCTAATGTAGTGCTTTTTAATTGTTCAATGAAAAAAAAATTGTGTAAAAATCTAGCAGTTTTCCCTGTAAAAGGATTTTAATATAGAAGCTTGATATTTTGCTAGAAAATATGTTGCTGCTGACAATAGGTAAGGGGGTAATCCTGCTTTGTGAATCTTAGGCAGTCCGTAGAGACGAAGGATTTTAGAATCATGAGGGGTGATAGACGTTTTCACAGAGTCTGATAGAGAAGAAGCCTTAATAACGAATTTAAGGTTGCGTTCCACTGATGACGTAGGATCTTTTTTTTAGTTGACGATATGATGCACCTGTAAGATTATCTTGAACCTTTTCCTGTGTTCACTTGTGTGCATGACCACCATAGCATTTTCTTTATCTGCTTTTAGGATTATGATGTCAGGATTAGATTTTAGAGCAATGCGTCTAGGCTTTGGAACATTAGATTTGGGAGGACTTTACCTGTCACCAATATGGGAATCAGTCATCCCTCATTTAGCTTCGCCCCCTTCAAACAATATATAAGCAGGTACAGAGTAGAATGCGAGCCAGTTTCAGTTAAGCTCTGCAGAAGCCAACAAGATGATTGACAAAACGTCAGCAAGTTTGATTCATCAACAACTGACGCAAGAGGAATCCAGAAGATTTGTAAATAGTGTTTCGCAGCCTGTGGAAAAAATGGCCATTTGTTCTCAAAGAAATTGACACATAAAAAAGCTTTTTCAAATATCTAAAGAAATAATTCCTGAAAACCACACTATTGTTTCACACATTGTTTTATTTAACAAAGGATTTTTTTAACTTTCTCTTAAATCACAGCAAATATAAATTTCTTAGTAAAAACTTGGAACATTTTTTAAAAATAAACTACAACCATTGATGTGGTTTCTTGTTTACAAAGAAATAGGTATTGTGAAAAAAAAAGAGAGATTTATGAGTACCTAGTAACTCCGTTCAAGTTTAGTGGTTGATAGCAACTACTTCTATTTATCTATTATATATATATTTTAAACCCAGCTACCATCAAAAATTTATTGTTAACTTTTTTAAGTGTTTAAAAATTGGCAATATTTTTACCTTCAGAAACTTTTTTGTAATTTAACTAGCTAATACATTTTTTATGGTTTCAGAGATATCGTTGCTGTGCGTGCCTATCTTGAATACACTGTAGCGCTTACCTAGCACTTCAACATAGTAACCAGCATTTCTCAAATTTTGGTACATCTCTTTAAAATTAGTGTGAATGTGATCGCCATTCCAATCAAGTGGATCATTCTTAATCTTTAAATTATCTCTCGGAAAGTATCCCGGAGGATACCTCAAGTTATGAAATTGATCCCATAAAATTCTCTTGTGTCTCGGTGGGGTCGGAATTATTTTGGCCCTGTGAAAAAATAAGGGTATTTCTGATGTTCCCAACCTACCAAACACCAACCTTATAGGTAAATTCACGGTGCTTTGTCTAGGTTCCGCTTCACCAGTTTCGGGCGGTGACTCCACTGTCAGCAAGATATGTCCGTGAGCCAGACCCTCGTAACTGGCACCCTCTGCACTGACTGACAAACTTACTGCCATCCAACCTGACCAAGGCCAGAGCAATTCAGAGTACGAAATTGATATGTCTAGTAATTGCCCTTGTTGGGGTATGTAAGGATGCCACGTGGGTTTGTTTAACAGTTTACCAGTCACCCCCAGACCGTTAAGTATTGTGACATTTACTATGATAGGCATGGCACCATAGTATAGAGGTTGAGTGCAATAGGGCCACATATATGGACATTCATTGAGATCGATGTAACTCGGGCTTAAACTGGCCTAGAGCAAACAACAACACTGATAAGTATAAGAGATAGGGGACCACCTACTTTAAATTTGCGTTTTGTTCAGATTCATTATTAATAGTACTCCATTACTTCAAAATGTATTAAAATATCATAACAATTTATACCATGTGAAATTTTAGATTCCTTATTAAAAAAAAACTTTTTCTTCAACATATAGATGTTGTATTTACAGACTTTCATTGCCAATATACAGCGGGTCAAAACATATTTATGAATGTTATGGGGAGAAAATGAAATTGATAAAAGTTAAAAAAAAAATTGTTTGTACTAAGATAACCTCTTTAGTCTGTTGTGACTGTGTATAATTGGTTTCCATATGGATCTATTTATGAATGACTTGCTAAGTTTCTCCTACGGAAGTTTTATGTAGAAGGTTTGGATTTTAATTTTTATTGATATTTAAATCAAGAAGAACGGCAAACTTAACTCTCAACTACCGCTATACCATACCACCTTTCAATACTTTATATACTACTTCACCTGAGGCTTATAAGTGTTTAAAATCTGATGAGCCTTCATCAGATTGAGTTTTCCGTGCCCTTGCTCAAACATGTTAACTCCAGGCAGTCGTCTTGCCGACGCCATTAGGGCCTGCTTCATACTAGCAGGGTTAATAACATTTCCCCTGTGCAACACCCCGCTGGCCAATAAAGTAACAGCACCCGCCACCACTGGTGATGCTACACTTGTTCCTGATAAAGTTCTGCAACCTCCTTTGATATTTGAACCTTTTACTGCAGACCCATATGTTACAATATCTGGTTTAACTCTCCCATAGCCTGTAGGGGCAAGGTGGTAAAAAAGCAAAGACACTTACTCTAGCATGAGTACTTGACTGGGCCAAAAAAATAGACAATTGATAAAACCATTCAGAATGATGACAAAATATTGTAAAAATTTGAGCCCTTAATATTAATGGAATAGGTCTTTAAAACTGTTTTTCAATATTTTTATTCCCATCTTATTGTGTGAATTTATCTAACTATATTATGGTAGGGAACTGAATGCTTTATAAAATGAGCACTGATTGAAGATTTTCAAAGGAAATAGTCAATTTTTTTGGCCCAGTCTAATGAGTACCTTGAGGTAACTCCCAGGTAGTCATTCCTCTTGATGAAAACTTTGCTATTTGATCCTCAAAATTTATTCCACCCACACCAATCACATCCATTTGATCTGCTGGATTGTTTAATGTTCCATACAAAGGTCCATCATTGCCGATTGCTGAGACCATAATGACTCTGTTCGCAGTCAATTCCCATACTTTATCAACAAATGGATGATCCTTAAAATCAGGCCCACCAATACTCAAATTCAAAACATTTATCTTTTTGAGAATTGCATAATTAAAAGCGTCTAAAAACCAAGATGTATAAGAGACCTAAAACAATAAGCAAATTTGCATGCCATGAAATAAACACCTGTAAAGCATGTTAACCTGATTATTGGTAAAAACTCTAAAAATGTGTAACTCTGAGTCAGGTGCAAACCCAAGGCATTCTTTACTAGAAGCAATGACTCCCGCTACAAAGGTTCCATGCCCCAATCCATCCTCATAAGTTTTTTCATTTGTCCAATTGGTTCTTTCTTTGATTTTTTTAAAGTGTGGATGATTTTTTGAAAGACCAGTATCAAATATTGCAACTTTAACGCCTTTCCCAGTAATTCCAAGATTCCATAATGAATCAGCTTGCAAAACTGAAGTGATTTGCCTTGGAATGGCCCGTAAAAGGCGCCTGGATGTGTGACGTCCTGTTGCTTGCCAAAACTGGCTTTTTGAATTCAAACTTGTCTGACTGTGTCTTACAGTGTTAGAATTAAGGAACTTTAAAGTACGCGATACCATTCGTTGTGAAGTCACTCTCTTAATAGCAGGGTGCTCATTTAGAGCATTTAAACCCTCCAATTTATCAGTATCTTCTAAAACAACTACATCAAAATCGCTAGGATAATCACTGGCAGGATTTTCTCTCGCGACAATCGTCCACTTTTTAACTCCAGTACCATTTAGGGCAGTGTTTATGTAGCTTGCTCTTGCCTGATTTTTGTAGTACCCATTAAACATAACAATATACTCATTCTCTACAATTTTGGAGCTGTAATCTACTTGAATTTCCTCTACAGTTAAATTGCAACATAAAGGGGACTCAATAATACTTTCCGTGGAATCAGTTTCCTCATAAACGTTTTGAGTGATACTACTTGATATCAATAACAATATGGGCAAAAGACATATTGTGTTCTTCATGTTTTGTCTTTCGTTATTTAACTTGTTTTCCACTTTCGTTTGCGTCGGATCATTTTTATTTTATCGAATAGGAGTTTCTAACATACAACAAATTAAGTAAAGACATGTTTACTGTAAAACAATTATTTTGACTTTTGTACCATTTGCCACAGAAGACGGACTAGTGATTTAATCATTGACATTCACTATGACTACCTCTTCGTCGGTTGTTTCAAATAGATTTAACTAGTTTTTGAATTTTTTCAGGTCGTATCTTCCATTGCAACGTACCTCATTGTTGCAGTGCAATATCTTCAGGACCAAAAACTGGGGATTTCTAAATAGAAAATTAGAAAAATGAGCGTCCGTACATAGATCTGCTTATTCTGTGATCTTGCAATCATTCTTCTCCATACTACCATAGAGTAACAGTACCAGAGTAAAATGTCCATACAAATTTGATTTTGATTTTGATATCTGTTTTGTAAAAATGAAAATGCTGTATAATTTATAATTAACAAATAAAATCTCCCGTTGTCCAAAAGTGTTTTTTTTTTGACAAAATTACAAACCAATTAAAAGTGAGTTTTGGTTAGTTTAAAAAATTTAAAAGGATTCTGATTTCATGGTCTGTGTTTGAAAAGGTGGAAGTGGCGGTGGTTGCGCCGGTGTAAGATTTATTTATATTTTAACGAAAGTCTTGTTTAATCCAAAAATGGAGGACATTTTGGCCAAACTGCTCGTTCCTAATAGCAACACCATTCATGAGGTAATTACACAGAAAAAATTGCATGCATGTTTTGTCCATATGATCTTAACCTCACAATCCACGTGCGAAGAGAATGGGTATAAATCGCACTCTTTTAGGGCACCAAAGAATTAAAAGAAGCTTTTAAAAGGCCGGAGGCTATTCCTGCATTATGTGATGTTATAGTCGGTTCTTCAAATTCCCAAATAAGACAATCAGCAGCAGTACTGTTGCGTAGAAAACTTGGTAAACGTAGACAGTGGAACAAATTGAATTTAGATCTCAGAAACAGGTGAAAGGTTTTGTTCAACATTACCATGGTCTAAGCGTGAATCATTGCAGAATCAAGCAGGGAATGATCCAAGCTTTAGTTAATGAACAGGAAAAGTTTGTTAAAAATTCTATAGCACAGTTTATTGGGATAATAGGAAAGCATGAATTTCCTGATAATACTTGGCCGGAAGTTTTGCAATTTATTCATACTTTGTGCAGCAGCGACATTATTCTTGACAAAGAGGTACCTGTATACAAATATTGCCTTGAAGATGTTAATTATTGTATGTGGGCTAAAGTGAATATATTACACATGCATGTTAGGCAAAGTGACTCATTCAATTTATGACAATTAATTCCACGAAGTATGAATATGTAGAGTTTTGACTGTCCCGAAATTATGAAATATTTTTAGTTTTTGTAAGGTCTTACATTATAACTTAAAAGTGTTAAAAAACACAATAAATGCAACATTTCAAAGAGACGAAATTGCTGAATAATTTCTCAAAAACAGTCATCTTAAAAGTCTTTTCACCAAACACTTTTAGTATATGTAATATTATGAGTGACTTTAAATTATGCTTATAATATAATTTGAATTTTTTTAAAAAATATGTATATATTTTGAAATAAACCTTTGCACTTTATTATTTTTTACTATAAATTTAATTGGAGAATAATTTCATAATTAAATAATATTTAATATGCTGGGTGGACAATTAAGGACACTGGGCCCTAACTCAATATTTTTGGAATGAGTAATAACTATTATTGAAAATTTATATATAACATTGGTGTTTTAACAGTAAATTTCTATATATTTTGCTAAAACACTGAATATTGGTATTTAATAATATTTTTTGAGAAAATTAATTTTATTTATAGTGGCGTCTCAAAACCCCCTGTAGCGGCGGTACAAGCAATCGAAATCAATCCGCTTGGGGCAGCATTGTTGGCCTAACAAGAGCCTTTGCTACGATTCCAAGTTCAATAAAATGAGTTCAGTCATTCTGAAGTTATTGACATTTATTTTCGAAAATGTTTAGACAATCCCCACCACTTTGAGCCCACTATTCGACATAAGAGAACTTTAAAATTGTGGTCATTTTAGGCTTCATGACTATTACTTTTCGAGAAAGAATTGAATGCCCTTTTTAATTGGGCACCCGCTGCGTATAAATAACCTTATTAATTTTTTTTTAAGAGACTCCTTTGAGTGCATTAAAAAAATTCTTGGATTCTTGGGATCACCAAAACGTACCTTGATTAATGATGCCCTGGTACTTGGTCCTTGGCTCGTTATTTTTGAATTTTGATGCCGGAATTTTTCTTTAAAGCTTTGAAAAATTCAATAAAAACCGTGCACCAAGTACTTTGATAGGGAGAAATTTTCATGATTTTGATAACTTTAACCTTCAGAAAAGGATAATAATTATACTTATTTCAGATGGGAATGTATACATTATCCATAATGACTGAAATATCTCAAAGTTCTTATATTGTGCATGCCGAGTCGTTTGCGGCCCTGTTTACAAATATATTATCCGGCCTGAATGAACTTAGTTCAAATCTAGCTTATTATACGGTTACCACCATGAAAAACCTAGTGCCAGTAATTGGAAGTCACCAACAGGTATGTTTGTTTTGCTATTTATTTAGTTAACTGCAAATTATAAATGTGCCTTTAATTATTAAATACCGCCATTTTAGATGGTGAATGTTTACCATCAGTTGCTTCCACGCGTCTTAGAAATAATTAATGCATTCGCTAGTGAAGATGAAAAGCGCGCTAGCGATCTGCTGGAGTTTCTTGAAGAGTTAATAGAATATGCAGTGGCAGTAGTGGCTCCTCATATCAAAATGACCATAGATATGTGCCTTCAAATCGGTAGCAATTCCGCCATGCCAACTAGTGTTCAGATTAAGGCTATCAGCGTAGTGGGTTGGCTCATACGCTCTAAGGGGAAGGTATTATTTTTTCTTTTGAGGCACTAAAGTAGTATACAATTTTTTTGGCACTTGCAGGTAGTTCTAAAGAACAAATTGGTTGAGCCAATCATAGATGTTCTCATTCAATTAATGGCTCAGCAACCGGACGACGAAGGCAATGAGGAGTATTTTCTCGGAGATCCTGATCAGTTTACATCTATAACAGTAGCTACTCAAACTTTAGATTTGATTGCTTTACATATACCCGCCGACAAGGTTGTTCCGCATCTCCTAACCAAGGTATTTGATCACAGTACCCAACTGACGGTTTGTATTCGATTTAGGCGGATGTTTCGTCTTTTTATTTTGGTTTTCATGCCGCTAAGAAGCAAATTTTTATCTAATACAGGATTTGCCTAATATGCCATTTCAATATTTTAACTATATATGAAATTGAATTTGTCATCTTCGTTTTTGACGTCGATTAACCTGATGACAGTTTTTGTAAATTTGTAATTTGGCGGTGTTACTAAACTTTTACACATTTAATGGACTAAAACTTTTTATAGAACTTCTAGATTCCTCCTGCGTCGGTTTTTGTAGAGTCCAACTAGCTAACGTTTCGCCAATCATCGTGTTGGCTTCTTCAGAGCTTAATTGAAACTGGCTCGCATTGTACTCTGTACTTGCTTTTTATATTGTTTGAGAGGGGCGGAGCTAAATGAGGGGCATAAACACCGTCTCGAATGACTGATTCCCATATTGGTGACACGTAAAGCCCTGAGTCGCGGTGTCGCTTAATATTTTTAATGTGGAAATTAGTAGAGAGAAGAGCAAAGGTAAGGTGTTTTAATTCTGGGTTCTGTGATTCGGGGTGAAATAGTTTTATGGCGCTGTAAACAAGAGAGTTGACAACCGATGATTTTTGGGCTGTATGACTAAGACAAATAAACTCATCATGAACTTATTGTCAGCACCAACATATTCTCTAGCAAAATATCTAGCTTCTATATTAAAACCCCTTTACAGGGAAAACTGATAGTTTCATACTTAATTCGTTTCATTTTATTCAACAATTAAAAAGCATTACATTAGATTGTTAAAAAGTCTCCCAACATTTTCGATCTGTCAAAGACAAAATTCCATTTGAGAAACCAGGAATTTACACTATTCCTTGCAAATGGAGAGACAGGAAGTAACATATCAACTAGGCTCCAAGAATATGAAAGAGCCTTAAGACTAAGACAAATAAACTCATCAGCAATTGCCAAACACAATCACAAAATCGGATATAAAATTTTATTCGATAAAACTAGAATTCTTGCATGTAATCAATTCTTCTACCAACGAAAAATCAGGGAGTCTATAGAAATCTATAAGCAATCTAACAATCTTAATCTGTCACCAATATTCGAATCAGCGATTCGTGACGGTATTTATGCACCTCATTTAGCTCCGCGCCGCTCAAAGAATTTAAGAGCAGGTACAGAGTAAAATACGAGCCAGTTTCAGTCAAGCTCTGAAGAAGCCAACAGGATGATTGGCGAAAACTGACGCAGGAGGAATCCAGAAATGTATAAAAAGTATTAGTCTTATTTTTTTGTTCATTATATTCAATTTATGTATACCAAATATAACCAAAACCTAACAAATAAGTAAAAAATCGTTCAGATTTTCTGCCAGGTTTATGATACCTAAACCATAGAGATTCTTAAATAATTGAAATCAAAATTTTGATTTCTTAAATATATGATACATGATCTTATACAAGGTGTTCAAAAACTTTAATTAGAAATTAATTAGAACTCTGGGTGTCTATAACTTGATTAATTTCAATGGAACGACAATTTTTGTTACTTATCACAAGTTATTCATTGACTGTAATTAGGATGATCTATAATTCTCTTAGTGTTTTTTCATCATTATCTTTTTTTGCGCCATTTGGTCATAAACTTTATTGAATGGCATACTAATTTTGACAAAAGTGATATAATATACAGGGGTGTCATTAAAAAAATCGACGTTGATGGCTGCAATACTTTTGGAACAGATTGCTTAATATAATTAATAACATAATAATTTAATTTTAAAAGTGACCATAAAAATAAATTGGACACTTTTTACTCTTTTATAACATTCTCCATAGAACTGCTCCTGGAATTTTTGATAAATTTAACCTTCCTGTCCCTGTAATAAGAGCAGCTGATAGTTGTCACTATCCACTATACAAATTTACAACATTTATAATTTCATTTCTAGAACTGCTAGATTAGCCAAACATTTCTTTTATTTTTTTATTTTTGATTGATGGTTTTAGGAGTATTATTTTTTTATTGTATTTTATTTTTAATAAGTTTCTACAAATTTTTAATTATTATTCTTAATAATGCGTATTGTAAATGGATTTCGTCAGTTGATAAATAAGTAAATGAATAAACTGGAAGAGGTAATAATATACGGGGTGTTTTATTTAAACAATTTAAATAAAGCAAGTTGATACCCAAAGAGGCGAAATTTGGAGTAGATAGTCAACCTATCCAACTTGGAACAAGATATATGCGGTACTGTTCTAGGACAAACTTCTATTGTTTGAATTGACGGGGACGTAATACGTCACTGTATCTCGGTAGAGACGTAGTTAAAGACATTTAAACGCGGTTTAGGTGGAACCGGCCATTCAAGGGGGCGACGTTTACGCTCAGAAAGCGGCGTATCTCTCTCTAGCTGTTTTAGCCGAAGGATGCGCTGAACGAATCAGAACGAAATATTTGCAGCCGTTTTTAAAATGCGTCTGTACGGCGATCCACAATCCGAACGCGGTTGTGCGGAACGCAGCTCTATTCGCCTTGGGCCAGTTCGCCGAGCATTTACAGGTGGCACTAGTCTCTTGAAACGGGTTTTTCCCCGACGCTTTATATCGAAAACTTTCAGCCCGAAATAAGTCAGTACGCGTCGGAACTGTTGCCGGTCCTTTTCGAATGTCTCGGTCAAGTGCTGCAGCAGATGGAGGTGGAGAAAAAGGATCCGCCCAGTTTGGACCGACTCTTTTACGCGCTGGAAACGTTCTGCGAGAACTTGGAGGACGGACTGATGCCATACCTCCCGACGTTGATGGACAGGCTGTTCGTGGCCTTGGACCCGAACGGTTTCTCTATACAGCTAAAAAAGGTCGCCCTCAGCGCTATCGGATCGGCCGTCACCGCGGTTAAACAGGGTATTTTACCATATTTCCAGCGGATCATCGAAATATTGAATTTGTACATCAACTCCGATCCGAATTCAGACGTTCATCAAATACAGTGTTACGCAATTGGTGAGTTTTTCTTCGGGTATACTAGAGGGATAGTGTAGACAGTCCAACGTAAAACGAGGTTCAACTCCGCCTCCGCTAAAAATTTTGTGGATAGATTGTAGAGGGGATAAGATCGGTTGCGGACAATATTTATCTGTTGTTCTATATATTTCATGAATTTAAGTACAATTCGCTATAAAGCCAGCGTGATAACTGCTCATTATATATGCAAAACACGCACCATGCACTCAAAAATATTTCTAAAGCACCCCCGTATATTATTATTATATTATCATACAAATAAAATTTTACCTGTTTTTACCATTTTACCGTGTTTTATGACTGTTCCTGGTATATCGCTATTATGGTGGCATTTCCCGAATTGAAAATAAAGAGATTGGGTATTATAGACCTGTATTTAGATAGGGGATAAGAATGTGGTAAGTGTGGTTAAATTATTGTAATAAATATCATTAATAACGTTTATTGTTACGTATAAAACATTCGACCATTGTAATATAGTTTTGGTTTAAAAAATATTGTATTATAAAGGTTAATATTTAATATTTTTTAGCGTCAAAATTAATTAGAATTAAGGCTTTTCTCATATAAATAAAATATATGGCTACAAACCAGAAATTCAGACTACATCAACGAAAACTTGTATTCAGTTTTTGATACATTGTCAAAACTAATCTGAATCCGATTATTCTACATCAGTTACCCAGGGAACAACTAATTTGTAAAAAATATTGTTTTGGTACCACATGTTTTTCCATTTCTCTTTATTTACATTTAACATCGCTTCGTAAAATATTTTATTTTTTTTCAACAGATTAAAACTTTTATTTTTGCTTGCTTCTTCCCCTTTTGCTTTTGAAATAACAACACGATTAAATGAACCTCGCAGTGTTAAGGTGGAAGGCGGAGTATTTATATCCCTCTTGCTTTCAGTTTATTTTTCTAAAGCATTTCATGATTTTATTCTGGGACCAAGACCTTGTCTAGAATAGTATGTCCATTACTATTACACTTCCACGCGGTATTAGGTATATAATTTGTTCAAACCATTCTTCAAATACGTGAGAGTTTATACTTCTTGGTCATCCCCAGTTTTTTTTTAATTCAGAAAAAATACCACCGTCTTTAAGTAGGTATCTAAGCTTTATTTGAGAAGGATTCAAACTAAGAAATGCATCGACTATTACTATTACCCTTCCGATCGGTACTGGTATATCGTCATTGATGACAAAGATTCGTGCTCATATCTAGATTGTTTGAAAATAAGAACACCCTCTTCAAGTAGGTACTTTCCTTTTATTACAGAAGGATTATAACTGAGAATTGCGAGACTTTTTACTTATTACTTTATTATTGTCACTTTCTGATTGGCTTGCACGCCTATGGCGGCACCCGTTTTCCATGATTTATTGCTGTCTGTATTTAAAAGATAGGCTATAGACCTAATTTTATCCCGACCACATTGCGAAACGCCCCAAAAGAGCGGGGGAGACCAGCAGTGCACGTTTGCGGGGGCGGAGCTAAGCCATTGTCATTGCCCCTTTATATTAAAAAAAAGATACTGCCGACTTGCATATAATGTCATTAGTTTTGACTGTCAATGTGGCGTTTCCCTCTCAGAAACGCTGGCAGTGGTCGCGCAATTCATCGGCGAAGAAAATTTCAAGCCGTTGGCAGAAGAGTCCCTCCAATTGGGCATGAGGATTTTGAGTCAGAGCGATGACCCCGACATCCGAAAAAGCGTCTACGCGTTGTTCGCCGCCCTTGCAATAGTCATGAAACAGGAAATTAGTCCGGCCCTCCCGAAAATTGTTAATCAGATGATCGAAAGTATACAGAGTAGTGAAGGGATCGTTGTAAGTCAACTTTGTAGGAAATTTGACGCTTCAGGAACCTTAATGATTAAGTTAGAGTTTATTATTTCATTCAACTATGTTACAGATAAATATACAAAACATATCCAAAATTTAAGGTATAAAACATTCAAACAAATACAGATTAAAATCAATAATTAAAGCTATTAACTACAAGGATTTTTTTAAAGTCTCTTAAATTATTTAATGGGTATATTGGTTTTTGTTGTGTGGTTCCTTTTTTCTCATATTATAGATTAACATACAAAATATACCCAAAATTAAAGATGTAAAACATACACACAAATACATATATATTAAAGTCAATAAATCAACTAACTAGACAGATTTTTTTTTAAATAGATTTAAATGTTTTATGGGAAGATTTGTTTTTGCTGATTTGTCCTTTTTTCCGTCATTTTTTACCCAATATAAAAAGATCGTAGTTTGTCATAGATTGTCTCTATGTCTGGTATTAGTGTTCGAACTTGGTTCATTTAAGATGCTCCTATACCTCTCAGTAAATACCACACTGAGAAAAAAGTTAAATACAAAAAGTTTTTGACCTTATATATAAGGAATTTTTATGTGTAGAAGTTATTGTGCCAGGACAGTAACCAAGTTTATTTTTTTAAATGGAATGCAATGAATACTTTTAAAAATTCTAATTATTCTCTTGATTTTGAGTATTACATAACATTTCATAGCATACGAGAAATAAACTTTTCCATTTTTGCGGAAAAACAAGCCTTTGCAAAAATGTGATTTTTTACATTTGAAAATTGAAATTGGGAATTTTTATTGTAGATCCATGGATGCAGATGCTTTAACCTATCTATAGCGAAAATATATTATACGGGATGCTCACAAATGACCATGTTTTTTCTAATTTCATAAGTAAAAGTTTTAAAAACTTATTCCTTGCTATGGAAAGATCGAAACTGAAAGTTGCCTCACAAATTAGTATGTCACTAGAAGGCGTGAAGCTAAAAAAGTGCTAACAAGATTTTTGATGGTATCTTTATATTCCAAAAATATATATATCCTTATAAAATCGCATACAAAATTAGCTTTCATGTAGCCTTTGTAGAAAGAAGTAAGAATCAAGCTGTGTGTTTCCAAAAAGATACAAAAGTACTTTACTCTTTAGAAAATTAAAAAATATTTTAAGCTTAAATACAACAATCTATAGTTTGAATATAATTTAAGTTGACAAATGGGTCAAATTTTTATAATTTATAATGGTCCATAGTCAAACAGAAAACGTAACTGTTTCTAGGTATATTGTTTTTATCATATATTTAACGCATTATGTTATCACAATATCCATTACAATAATCATACATACCATAATATGTTTTTGCTATTATAAATGATAAAAAATTGGCACTTATTGTCATCAATCAAATTAACCTCAATATGGTCATTGAAACTGAAACATTCAAACTTGTATTTTTTTTTGCCTTGTATTCATTTGTTTTATTTATAGATTCTTGTGGCTCATATGATGACATACTGGTTTTATTTTTCATCAAAAAGAGATGGAAAAGAGGTACAGTTTTCAGAAACAACAGTGAGAAAAAAAAGGTTTCTGGGTAGTAGTAGTAGGCCCCAAATAGTTCTTTAAGTTTTAAATGATTTAAGTTTCTTTGTGTAACTGTAGAATACAGTACAGTTACATACTTATTTCGGAACGAACGTTTTATATATATTTTTAAGGGCACATCTCTTGAATTTAATGTAAAAGGTAGATGGATTGTTGGATATATGATCTACCTAAATGTATTATATATTTAATATATGTATATCTATACCTTCCTTAAATTTACAAAAGAGTTATTTAAGAATACAAAACCAAAAATTACTTTGTGGTGTCTTCTCTATATCCTATCATGATGGTAACAACTCATACGCTTTTATATAACTTTTATAATTTTATATTTCTGTGCACCTTTTGGCTGTGCATTTAGTTATTAAATTGTTTTTATTGTTTGCCAAATGAGATATCAATGAACATAGCTGGGAATTATACCGTAGGATGTTATTAATTATATTTCTAGACTCACTATGATGAAGACGAGAAAGAAGATGTAAACGTATATGGGGAACTGTCGGACGAGGATAACGACGATGAAGAAGACATCGAAGGCGATTCCTCCGCCAGCGAAGATTCCACCCAATGCAGATACTCTGTCGAGAATTCATATAACGAAGAAAAGGAACAAGCCTGTTTGGCGCTGCGAGAGATTTGCCTCAACATTGGGTAACCGGATCTTCTGCTTCTCTTCCGAACTTTTTTTAATCATAACGACATTTTCAGATCGGCTTTCCTCCCCTACATCGAGAAGAGCTTCGAGGAGATCTATAAGCTGATCAACTATCCGCAGGACGATATTCGTCGGGCGTCGGTGGAAGCGTTGCAGCAATTTTGCATAACCTTACACAAGGTAAACACCCAGGACTCGAGGCTGGCCCTGCAGAAAGCGCTGCAGATGTTTGTGCCCAAGTGCTCCGAGCTGATCAGGACCGACGAAGAGCGGCAGGTGGTTATGGTCTGTTTGGACGCTTACGCCGCCCTTCTGGAGGAGATAAGGGGTGACGTTTTCGCGGGGGAGGGACACAGGGAGGCCATTATGAATTGCGTCGTCGACGTTCTGACCATGAAGGTGAGTCAAAATTATCGATAGTTAGATTTAATCATGTACTTGACTATGTGCTTTAATCCCGAAAATTTCAATTCGAAAAAAGGATACGTGAAAAAGTTATCTACACATTATGTAACAAGTCACAGTTTCATTACTTAGTCATTGCGCAGTCATATGAAATAATTTCATTCTAACTTTTGGTCGTGCTTGTAATTGTAATGTATGAAATTTCGCTCAAGATAGCAGTGCAGTTTTGTTAATAATCCCAAATAATTTCTATTTGTTGTCTCCACCATCCTCGTTTATTTGCAAACAAAAAATAACTACAATATTTCTGTTTCTTAATGGCGGTGTTTTGCAGATGGTGTTTAGTGGCAATTATCGTTCCGCAAAATAATAAAATTAAAATGTTTTAAACCTAACTAGGTGTATTAATGCTACACTTTTCTTAACTAAAATTTAAAAATAAAAAATGTTAACCTAGGAGAACTGACAATTTAATGATACAATAATACACTGTTATTTTACATTTGTTGGCTTGAGTTGGGTATTTTGGGGATCCATATTGGTGATTCGGAGGATCCATGTTACCCCAACTTGAGAATGCAGGTGATAGGTCACCTTTTTTTATCAATTTTCGTGCAGAAAGTGTGCAAAGCCATTCAAATGTTGTTTCTTCTTCTCCACACATCTAAATTTCTCTAAAAGTTTAATGGGATTATATTTTGAGAAAATCCTATCCAATACAATCCCAAATTGAATGTCGAACGTCGCAAGGTGTTATTGGCTGGATGCGAGTTTTCAAATCATTTGCGCATGCGTTTATTGGCTACATTGGCAACATTTTTTGATGTTGGTAACGCCTCTATAATACTAGTAGTATCAGTACCTATCTGGTTCCAACACAAATGACATCTTTGGATTGATATTTTTCGCTCGGAAACCTCAATAACTACGTCATTCTCTTTTAGACAATGTGCCAAGACACGGACTTGGGTGCCCAAGCCGAAAATAACGACGAAGACGTCGAAGCCGAACAAGATGAGTTGCTTTTAGAGTCTGCCGGCGATGTCATACCTAAATTTGCGGCCGCCATTGCTCCGGACGACTTCGCCTGTTATTTCCCAAATATACTCAAGTTGCTCTCGAGCAGAACCGTAAGCAGTGAATTTATATTTCATTCTTCACGTAGAGGGGCATATTTTCGCAAGTAAAGTGTGATATCTTTTCTACCTTACCTAGAAATTAATTTGGTGGCTAAAATGATCATTCAAGATGGATGACTGTTTGCTAGGAATAAGATCTGGAAATCGCAAGTGTTAAAAATCGCTAGCGAATGTGAATGTAGAAAAAAGTTTTTGGTTTGGGATCTAGTAATTCTTCTCTATGTATATAGATAACTTTGAATACATGTTTGACAAGTTGTATTCACAAAAGGAGTTTTTATAATTATTAAATTTCTGGACGCAATAAAAAGGGGCTATCCTTTTGAAGTTCCAGTGAATATAAAATGTCAATCAATTTTTTTTTCAATGCACAACATATCAGTTTTGAGGAATGCCGCTATTGCTATCTTCGAAATGGTCAGAACTACAACCTTAATTATAGAAACATTGTCTCTTTTTCGCTTTACATTTCCGTATGAGGATCTTACTTTACAAAATAAAATAAGAACGAAGTCAGTGTTAGCTTGATCACGAAGCTTGATGTCGAAGATCGAATATGTCATATTTTAGAGCTGACAAAATACAAGTTGTGCGTGGTGTTAAATTTTGCAACTAATATGCAAACTAAAAGTTATTTTTTACTTACTTCATCTAAGCTAGGGTTAATATTTGCCTCTTTGTCAAACTTTCCCACATATCTTCTTCCTTTTCTCGCTAGCTGTTTTTTAAACATGCTACAAAATCATATTATGTTCAATTCTAGTTAGATTGGAGCTATAACGAACGATTTATTTTTTTACGATTTTAAGAGGTCTTTGTGACCATTTTTTGACTTATTTTGTTATGAATGTATATCGTTGAGAGGTTATTATATTCCAAAAACATCGAGCATTGGAAATTTTGAGGATCTCCTCCTTAACAAAATGTAACCTTTGTAGTCATAAAATGACTCTAAAATTACAAACTTCTTGGTCTATTATTTATTATATCACTTTAAATAGATACCGGCAATGTTAATTGCTCCGTATATACGACATTTATTTGAAAATATAATATCAATATGTCCATTTGCACTTCATATTCACACTTATCTTATAGCAAAAGACTTTTGGCGCAGTGCACTTATGTGTACTTATTTTATTTAGAATATTATTATACATACTGAATCAACTTATTAAACGTGTATAATTTAAAAAGAAAAAAAATTATACAATATCTTATAAATAGAAATCTACTAAGGTTACTTTAATACTACTCTCTTTGAATAATAGATTGATAGATGGATTATAAAGAAAAGATTTTTTTTTTCTAAGAGATATGAAGCATTTAAAAGCATTTTAAATTATGTATATTATGGAAAAGGACGACCGCATTGTTAGCCAATTTGCCCACGGAAATTATATGATATGCCATCATATCGCATGTCGTAAACACGACTTTTGCACTCTGTATTCTGGCTAGATCTTCTTTATGCAAATAAGGATCATAAACTCCATTTGGGCGATTAAAATGAGAATGGACCAGCCAATCTATTAATCTAATTTAACTTTTCAAAAATAATTTCTTGCATAAAATATGCCTCTTTGGTGCCCTATTCGTCGGCAATCGTTGGCCACAGGCGATGGTAATGACCTTAGGTTAAACAGAACAGCATTAGTCAAAGATCGTTCGCGTTTGGTACACTTGCCGAGTGCATGAAACCGCTCGGCGTGTATGTGGAGAAGTTCGTTCCGCAACTGCTCAAAATGTGGCTGACCGGGGCGAGGGATTCGGCAGAAGAGGTCAGGAACAACTCGATATTCGGATTGGGCGAGATGATCCTGCATGGTCAGGATAGGATATTCAGGTATGTCAATACTGATCGACCTTCAGTCGCATAGTTTCCTTTCTAAAGTGGGCCAGTTGGTTCGTAACAGCTGATCAGTATATGAAAATTTATTACTTACAGACGCGTTGGATAATTTAAATTTAATCATTTTTATTAGTTGAAATTCATGAATTCAAAGAGTCGAATCAATATGTCGTATGTACGCCGAAAGTGTAACCAAGTGTGGCTTACTCTTACCACACACTTGATGTGACGTATACAGGGTGTTATTGTAATTACATTATTTAATTTAGTGAGTGAATCTGGAGCCCCTCATGGATGCCAAATTGAGATTTTGTTCAGTCAAATTCAGATTTTAAAAAGCTGTTTTTGCCCAATATGGCTATAACATTGAAATGATCGAAATAATTTCATTAAAAAATAAAAGCGGGTAGTAAATTTGATAAATAAAATATAAATAATCCTTTGCTACAGTTATCTGCCATTGATATGATCGTGTATGACAAAAGAAAACAATCTCCATTACGATCCGTTTCAATCTAAATGTAATTGGTCTTACAAAATCCATATTGGTTGAATTATCTTAACCATTTCGGTTCGATAAATGGATTTCACAAACAACAGTAAAAGATTTTCCATTGCAGTCACTATAACGACATCCTCCAAGCGTTGTCTCAAGCGGTGGCCAAAGAAACTCACTCAGGGACTTTAGATAATATTTGCGGCGCCCTAGCTAAAATGATCATCGTCAACGCCGCGGGCATTCCCCTGGAGCAAGTGGGTTAACCAAGAAGAGATTTATCGCAGGGTACCGGCTAATCGGGGGGTGTGGTTTTCCAGGTATTCCCCGCTTTTTTGCAAAAACTGCCGCTGAGGGACGATTTCCAAGAAAACGAGGCTGTGATCAAGTGTTTTATGACACTGTACCAATTGGGGAACCCCGTGATGAAAGTCCACCTGCAGGACGTCATGAAAATAGCGGTCCACATTTTTCAAAAGGATCAAACTCCGAATGACGGTAGTTTGGATAGGTTTTGCTAATCTAAGGGGACAAAATTATTGCGTCATGTGTCCAGTGTCTTAAAATTGATTTTACTCAAAATAATAATAAAATTAATTATTTTTTTTAATTAAAATTAATAAAATAACAAAAAAGGCGACAAAATATGGATGCAGATGGTTGAATTATTGCTTATTTCAATACTCAAATAAATTGGACGGCGGTAGCTTTTACTTGATGAAAATCCATTTAACACAATTAAATTAGAACAAAAAATGTTCAGATTTTCATATTTACTTATTAGATACTTTTTGCCTTTTTGATGTTTATATCACTTTACGTAAATTACTAATGTTTCAGTAATCTTCATTCATTTTGAAAATCTTTATTTTCAACTTGACTATCAGATTGTTTTAATAGTTGAGGGGTGATGAAATCAGAGAGCTTAAGCAAACTGGATGCATTTCTGGAGGTTTTTTTTTATCGAATCTAGTTTTGATAAGGAGTGATGTAGCACAAAATTCTGAGCATAAAAGCATGTTCTACTAATTCGTTTCCCTTATAAACAACAAAACAGTTTTTAAAGATAAGATTAGACTAGGTGTAAAAAAATTTAGCTTTGCCCGTTAGAGGCATTTAATAACCTATGCTAGATCATTGGTTTTTAAAATACCTTTCAAATTTTTGCTATATAGGTTATTAATACAACAACCACTTTTTTGATGATCAGTGCTCACAGTTGATATTTACAAAACACAATTATAATTTAAAATAACTTTCATGTAGGAACGCACGTAGACGCAGCTGAATTTGGAGTATATAGAATGCAGCAGCTGCAAAATATATAGATATGTGTTTGCTACTGGTTGCGACTTTTGTAGAAAATGATATACGAGGTGTGTTCAAAAATTAAGGTGACTTTTAAGGTTTATCAAAGAGTATTTATTTATTCATCAAAATTAATGTTGTGATATGGTGGCTGAGGCATGATTCTGGTGTTGTTTTTGGTGAAAAAGTTAAACACAAGCAACGATGAGTGAGCATGCGATGCAAAATCCATGAATTGTGTTTCCACAATTACGAACGTTTTCTTCGTATTGCTTTTCGCGAACGCCGCATAACTTAACAAAAACTTCCTCCCTACGATCTTGTGGTAAGAACTCTTAATGTACACCACGATAATCAAAGAAAACAATAAGCAGCGATTCTGGATTCTTCTATTGGACGACAGGGCTTTGGTTTCGATGTCATAACCATATACCCGTGATTTTTCACCAGTTATGACCTTTTTGAGCATATCATTAACAGCTCTTGACCGATGCTTCTTCGACGGTCCTTTTGTTCAAAATTAAGCAGTTTCGGAACAAATTTTGATGCTACACTTTGGAGAAAATCCCATGGCACGAGTCAATAGAGATGGCGATGTCTTCCGCCACTTCTCGAATGGTGATTCGACGATTTTTCAACATCATTTGTTTCACTTGTTCAATGCTTTCATCAATTATTGAAGTGCTGGAACAGCTTGTACCACTCATAATTTCTTTTTGCCGTTGTCAACATTTCAATTGTTTTGCAGTACTATACAGTTGCAGTTTTATACAAATTCTTCCATTTTTTTTTTTTTTTTGACAACAGAAAAACGCTGAGCACACAAAACACGTCTAACGCTTGTCTCACAAAAAAAGTAAACTTGCAAACTGGCTGAACCTGTGAACTTATGTGTATCAACATAGCCAAAAAAAAAATCTAAGATCGAATGTACGTAGGCCGCCCAATTACAAAAGTTATCCTACTTTTTGAACAAACTTCGTAGGTGTTTTTTTTGTAATTACCCCGAAAATATTTTAACAATCTGCGTAACTAATACTAAATAAGCTTTAAGTAGAAGCTTTTGTCCGACTGCCCGATCTTTTCACAAGTTTGGGTTGAACGGATACTGCCATACTTTTCCTATGATTTCATAGAGGGGTAAAAAAGTTATGAAAATTTCGAGGTCCATTTGATTTTTTAAATTTTGTCCTAGCAGATTAGCGTCAGTCGGTGTACGTTGACAGCGTTGAATTTCAGAAACGAGAAATTTGCTGAGGGAGTTTTTGAAGATGCTGAACAGCGATTTCCCGCAGGATTTCGCGAACGCGGTCAGCTCGCTGGGTCCGGACGCCGCCGAAGCGGTCCACAAGGTGTTGTCGCCGTAGTTCGGCGACCTGGACGGTCGGGTACGTAAACAGAGCTTTAAATTTGTTAAGGAATCATTTTCTTCCGATTATTTACGTTTGTAATTCGCGCGCCAATTGTTTATTAAATTATATAGAGATTCTCGCATCCCTGCATTTTATTACCACTTTATAGAATTCTATTTATTCTATTTATTGAACAGTTGAAAAATGTTATTTTTGAATATTTTGTAAAACTCATTCTTTTGAGTAGCGGTTTAGGTTCGGACTTCCTATTTTTTTGTATTTATAGATATATTACCTATATATAAACTTCCATCGATGGTTGTGTAAAATAATAAGTGTAAGCAGTTTATGTCGAAGATATGTGTGTCATAACCATCTGGCATGTTTTTCTTTGTTTAAGCAAAACCGACCACTCAATTCGGGATTCACAAGTTTGTTGTTCAAAATTTTCTGTATGTTATTGATAATAAATCGACACTTTTATTACTTTACATTTTTTGTATGAATTATATTGTTAGTTTGATATTCGGATTAATAAAGAAAGATGTAATAATAACTTTGTTTTTCATTACTTCAGAAGTCTTTCACCAACATTTTTACTGTTTGAACGCTTAATCGAATAGTAAGTTATTGATATTTTTGCTACGCTTTCCTGTCAAAATTGAGATCATGGCGTCAAAATAGTAGGTTAACTTTAGATTAATAAAGAAAGACGTAATAATAACTTTTTTTTTCATTACTTCAGAAGTCTTTCACCAACATTTTTACTGTTTGAACGCTTAATCGAATAGTAAGTTATTGATATTTTTGCTACGCTTTCCTGTCAAAATTGAGATCATGGCGTCAAAATAGTAGGTTAACTTTAGATTAATAAAGAAAGACGTAATAATAACTTTTTTTTTCATTACTTCAGATGTCTTTCATCAAACATTTTTACTGTTTGAATGCTTAATCGAATAGTAAGTTATTGATACTTTTGTTACGCGTTCCTGTCAAAATTGAGATCATGGTGTCAAAATAGTAGGTTAACTTTAGATTAATAAAGAAAGACGTAATAATAACTTTTTTTTTCATTACTTCAGATGTCTTTCATCAAACATTTTTACTGTTTGAATGCTTAATCGAATAGTAAGTTATTGATACTTTTGTTACGCGTTCCTGTCAAAATTGAGATCATGGTGTCAAAATAGTAGGTTAACTTTAGATTAATAAAGAAAGACGTAATAATAACTTTTTTTTTCATTACTTCAGATGTCTTTCATCAAACATTTTTACTGTTTGAATGCTTAATCGAATAGTAAGTTATTGATACTTTTGTTACGCGTTCCTGTCAAAATTGAGATCATGGTGTCAAAATAGTAGGTTAACTTTAGATTAATAAAGAAAGACGTAATAATAACTTTTTTTTTCATTACTTCAGATGTCTTTCATCAAACATTTTTACTGTTTGAATGCTTAATCGAATAGTAAGTTATTGATACTTTTGTTACGCGTTCCTGTCAAAATTGAGATCATGGTGTCAAAATAGTAGGTTAACTTTAGATTAATAAAGAAAGACGTAATAATAACTTTTTTTTTTCATTACTTCAGAAGTCTTTTACAAACATTTTTACTGTTTGAACGCTTAATCGAATAGTACGTTATTGACATTTTTGCTACGCTTTCCTGTCAAAATTGAGATCATGGCGTCAAAATAGTAGGTTATCTTTAGATTAATAAAGAAAGACGTAATAATAACTTTTTTTCATTACTTCAGAAGTCTCACCAACATTTTTACTGTTTGAACGCTTAATCGAATAGTAAGTTATTGATATTTTTGCTACGCTTTCCTGTCAAAATTGAGATCATGGGGTCAAAATAGTAGGTTAATTTTAGATTAATAAAGAAAGACGTAATAATAACTTTTTTTTTTTCATTACTTCAGAAGTCTTTTACAAACATTTTTACTGTTTGAACGCTTAATCGAATAGTAAGTTATTGATATTTTTACTACGCTTTCCTGTTAAAATTGAGATCATGGTGTCAAAATAGTAGGTTAACTTTAGATTAGTAAAGAAAGACGTGATAATAACTTTTTTTTTCATTACTTCAGAAGTCTTTCACAAATATTTTTACTGTTTGAATGCTTAATCGAATAGTAAGTTATTGATATTTTTCCTACGCTTTCCCGTCAAAATTGAGATCATGGCGTCAAAATAGCAGGTTAACTTTAGGGTTAAAGGCTGGCTTCTTACCGAATTGCAAATAAGCATACAAATTTCTTCTTACGTGAAGAAGAAAAATAATAAGTTACTTTAGGGATTCTGTGGTGGAACATTGCACGCGGCGGTTTAACCTCCGTTCGTTCCCTACAGAATCCTTTGTAATCGTCCAAAAATTTTGAAATCGGTCTCCACTGTGTGGATTTAGTGTTTTCAGTGTTTTGTGAACGTTGTAAAGTGATAATCGTCGTCGGCCCCGTCGTTTTTCCCCGTTCACGCCGGTATGGAGGCCGGATGGGCCAGGATGGTCCGGGGCGGAAGCGGGGGGTGTCGGTTTTTTTTGGTATCGGTCAAATTTGTTTTTTTGCTAGTTGAGCAAATATTGGTTATATGTCTTCTCTGTACGTGTTGGTCAATGACCAAAAGCGAAGATCCTCGACGGAAGTCGGCAATGGGCGAATGATCCTAGCAGTCGAGCCCAACATTTTTTGTGAAACGCATACTTGAACTTGAACTTTGAAGTTACTTTAGTTAGGTAAGTTTGAAATGTCATTTGCAAAGCAACTTTTTATGCGGAATACGAAAACCAAAAGTTCTGTACAGGATGCTTGGCAATTTACTGATATACATTTAAAATTTTCTTATTAAATTTTACTACTTTTATATATTTGAAAAGAGATTAAAATTATCTTTCAGCAATTTGGGTGGCACCGATTATATTTTGCCTTAAGGGAAAAATTGATTTTTAATTCAGTTTATAAAAAAATGAACTATCTAATTCAAGCTAGACGGCAGGATAGGTGGACCAGTCTGACAATTTGGTCGTTTACATTTAAGCGTTATTTATTGGAACAGTACTACCAAATTAGATTTTGAAATGATGAGGAATTGATGGGAAAACGAAAAATTCAATAATATACAGGTTTTACCCTTTAAAGTGTCGAAGTAAAGTAAAATTATCAATAAGCGGCAACGTCGCATCGCAAAAAATATATTTGATCGATATATCACCCTCGCGTGCTCTTTTGACCTGTTTTCAGTGTCAATCGTTAAAAAAATGTGGTAAATAAAACATTTACGTCGACAACATTATTTCATGTACGTTTCGGTGCGCCCTCGTATACAGAAAGTGTTTCCGTCAAACCACAATAAGGCATGACACATTTTGAAACACTCGTAAGTCGCAAATTCAAATTTTAACATGCAAAAGTAAACTGTTTTCCCGGTAACGGAGGAGCAAATGAGTATTCGGAAAATATTGTCAGACCCACACCTAGGAATTGTGGCGAGTATTTGGAATGTCCCAAACACATATTTTTCAATGCCCGGCATTTGTATAGTACGAAGTGTGCACTACAATTACGTGCTCCCGTTTACAGTCAGTCGTATAGAAAAATAACCAGAGGTTAATAGAGAAAGCGTAACTTTATTATCGTTAAATATATATTGGAAAGGAAACTCGATATTTTTGGAACAATAAAAAGTAATGAGGTAGTCATCAAATTTTAAAAAATATTTCATTTCAAATAAAAAGGTGCTATTAAAATGATACAGGGTATTACACACAATTTGGATTTCAATAATTGAGGTAATGAAGTCGCTTCGAAATTGTAAAACTCTCGATTAGGCGATTTCTTTTTTATTTTTTCCTGGGTTTATTTAAATTCATATTATATAGTAAATGACATTTTGTCATGTCATTTTGTCCTTAAAATCCAATATTTCGTTTTTCGAAATACATGCTGTTTATTAACATTTCGAAAGAGCATTATTAGTCAAATTTGACTTGATAATAAAAACGGTTTTTGTAAATACTGCTTTTGAAAGGAAGAAATTTTAAGGGCAAAACGGATAAATTAATGACCGGGCTGGCCTCGAGACTACTTTTTATTTTATCGAAGTTTAGATACTTATCAGGGCCTGCCTAAGCCGATAAATAACTAAAATTTCAGTTAAGCCGAGTTTATATCGAGTCAAAGGCTTTGATTTTTTCAAGTAATAAAAAAATCCATATTTGAAAAAAGTTAAGACGATGTAGCCTAGCACCAGGAAAATGACAAAGTTTCATTTATTTAAATATTCAAGTGGTCATGAAAAACATTTTTTTCCATCACACTTGCACTAGGTGACTACTTACGAGGGCTGCCTTTTATATTTCGGGATTTTCTTAAATTAGTCCTACCATCTAGCGACTAACGTTTTTATAGGAAAGTTTGACATTTTGAGGTTAAGTTTACTCAGTTAGGTTTTGGCGAAAGTGTTATTTGTGATAATTTAAAAAAAATTGTGACTGTTTTCGCGCATTTTTTTTAAAATTATTTTTGACGTCGACTAACTAAATGCATCGATGGACTTAATTTGATTTTTGGAATCAAAGCACCATCTAGGACTACTGTTTATCGTTGGTTTTCGGACGTTAGTCGTTTCGTGAAGGTTGTCGAAAATGGGTGGTTGTCCAAGAAAACATTGATGTAGTGCGGAAACTGAGTTTGCAGAATTGTCATATCGCTTATCATGAGGTTGAGCATTCATACAATTTTGCATGAACATTTGACCGCTAAATTTGTTTGCGTTGGATTCCACACAACTTGACATCACCTCAAAAAAAAAAGGCTCGTGTTGATTGTTCGAAGGAAATGCTCACAAAATACCACCTCGGTGGTTCCCAATAAGTCTATGAAATCGTGACAGGTGATGAATCATGGATCTATGCATATGAACCTGAAAGTAAGCAGCAGTCGACTGTGCGAGACTTTCAGAATGAGGCAAAGCCCACGAAAGTTATAAAAATAGTAGCCTGTTTTTTCATTAAGACTGGCCACGTTGCAACTGTTTTTTTTGGTGAAAGGTAAAACAGTCAATTCTGAATGGTCACAACCATTTGTTTGCCGAAAGTCTTCGAAGAAATTAGAAAAATCAACCGCCGAAGATGAATCAATCTCCACGACGACAATCACCGATCAGCGCAAACAACTTTTTGAGCATTGAAAATGTTGATTTGATGAGCCATCCACCATATAGTCCCGATTTAGTACCTAATGACTTCTGGGAAATGATCTTTGACACCAGAAGAAACGATTGATGCTTTTGAAAAGCATGTTTTGGAAGTGCCCAAATCGATGTGGGAAAAGTGTTTTCTTTTATGATTCGTTTTATCGAATGCCAAAGGGTATTGATCATCAGGGTGAATATTTTTAGAAACAATAAAGTCATATTTGTTGGTAGCTTATAGTTTTTTATTACAAATCCCGAAATATAAAAGGTAGCCAAATTTATACTATATCGATCTATGCGATATCGATACCTATTTGAATGCGGATTTTGGGATTTTTCTTCATCGTTGCCACACCAAACGAAGCCACGAAAAAGATTATATTTGCCACGAAAATCTTCAATTTTCAAAATCGGACACCAAACTCCCGATGAATTGACTTTTTACCACTATCAATAATTGATCACACCTCGTATCATAACAAAATGAGTATTTATCATACAGAAGACTGAATTATCGCAGAACAGTTCGTTGTTAATTATATATTTTACTCTCCCCACTATATGTAACAGCCGATATGTATGTAAATACGACGGGAATCACTACGATTAAACTCATATAGATTATTAATTTAATTCTAGTATGTGGATAAGATTATAATAAGTAGATACGCTAATATATCAGTTGCGTTTAGCCTTATAGAGAGATATAACCGTCTCTCTAGACCACAATAAATATCTATTCTGCGAAGTGTATAAATTTGTGACTGGTGAATCGAAGGTTTATCATAAACAGAGAGGTAAGTTTAATTTGAATTAAGTGATTATAGTGTCTTCTATGCTGAAATTTATGCATGGCATAAGAAGAAAAAAAGTCTTCCTTAAAGTTTAAGCAAGGGACCAAGGATAACTCGGTGGGTAAGGCGTTGCTAAGACCTGCCAACTCGAACTTGCCAGAGGTTGTGGGTTCGATTCCCATCTTGGGAGCCTTGGGTGTATTATTTGTGTTTATCCGATTTTAACGACAGGCAAAAATTGCCTAATTTACTCGTTGATATATGGAAAAACCTGGGCAGCCGTCTAAGTAAAATGCGAGTTCATTGTAAAAAAAAAGTTTAAGCAACTGTTTTATTTATTTTCGGAACATTTAAAGACATATTTATACTTCTTCGATTTCTGTCCTAAATTGATTGGATTCAGAGGAAGTTAAAAAATCGATTTTTTGTATTTGCTCATATCTTCTAATCTAAGGTAATTTTTTGGTGTAGTATATTTCTTATAATTTTTGCCAGTGGCATTCTTGACATGACAGTAAATGTATTACTAAATAGTTTAGTTAAAAAAAAACACTGGAGTGTAAGGAACTAAATGAAATGGAAAAGGCAGAATGTTTTACTTATTTTCAGTCAAGATTTGAATGCGGTTTGCAAGCTTCACCTTTTCGTTTCTACAATCGCAAACGCATTTATTGTTCAATGCGTTCGATATCGGTCGATTTAGTGTATTTGTCACAGACTTAAGGTTCTTTCACATTTTGATTAATATCGCGTATCTACGAAGCAAATTTAACTGCGGTATCAGTTTTTTGAACTAACATTTTGTCCGTGTACATTTTTTTATATAAAACTCCTTTTTGAAAAATGCGTCTTTAATGATAAAAACTAAATTTGCATATTTTTATAGATTTTTTTTATTGTTTAGTTAAGTGGAGCCACCGCTTCCGGTTTGATAGGAAATAACGTCAAAACAAATTGATTTATTTGAGTGACATTGACGTTGAAAAATAAAGTACCCATGAACTCGAACTGAAATGGTCACGGCGAGATTGAAAAGTGAGAGAAACTATACAATTGAAAAAGGAGGCTAGTAGTGGAGATTATCTCTCTGTTTCTCATTTATAAAATTTATTATTTACCGATATATTCTGGTATATCAAGTAATATTTTCTTTAAATATTCATAATTCGATATATGTGTTTTTTTAAAAAAATTGCATTGTTTTACTTAAAATACATGATATTGAATATTGATATTTTAAATGGAATACTCTTTTTGGAATATCTGAATAACATTTCGCTTTTTTTTTCAAAAAACAAACAGAATCCAAGTGCTATAGACGCATTATTTCTTATACATTCAGGGGCAAATATTTTTAATCTTTATTGATTTATTAGGTAATATAATTGGAGAAATTAAATTAAAATACACCGGGCGTTCCATTAAAATTTAGCAAATCGACATCCCTTTTGGACAAATCGGCGCTGAAATCTAACTAAAATTATTTTAAAATTGGATATCAATATGCGAACTAAAACTTCATGCGTCGAAGTCTATACAGTCAAAAATTACTTTATTAATTATTATTCTTAAATTTCTTCGGAGGTATGTAGCGTGATACATGTTAAACGTATATGGAAAAGGAAAATATGGTCGTTTACATCAGTGAATTCGATCTTTCGATGTAGATCAACATCAACGTCCCATATTTTTCGTTTCTCCATCCTTCGTTAGCTTATAGTCCTTATTATTTAGTGTTTGATGAAACTTATAAGTGTACAAATAGACAGGGTAATATAAAGGTATTGAATCTGCTGATAAGAAACGGTTTACAGGAGTCACAGCTGAATGACTCTATTAATTTTTTTGACTTCCACATCCCGTGGCGTGGCAAATAGTTTTGGTTAGTACAGTTCATAGTATTAGTCATCTGGCTGGGATATTGCTTGAAGCTCTAGAACGCATTACGTGGTCGCAAAGCCAAAACTGGAATTGCAGACGTCCAATTGAATGAAATAACTGTATATGCTGATAAATCGAAATTGGTTTGCAAACTTCGTAATTTCAAAGTGAGTGGCTGCTATCAGGCACATATTTCATATTTAACTTTTTATCAGCGCGTATCCATTTCCGGCAGTGAAATTGCAATTAATCAATTTTGCGTCCCTTTTTAATTGCTTTGTAAAGATATCGGCGCAGTACACACATATGTACTAATATGTCTGGCTTTCAAAGTACAGGGAATCAAAATTTCAGAAAAAGAAACTTTTTTTTTATTATCTTGGTGGTGTTGAAATCACGTTGATCTTCACTCTCACTATTTACAAATCTTCTGGATTCTTCTTATGTCGGTTTTTGATGAATCAAACTTGCTGACGTTGCGCCAATCATCATCCCGTTGGCTTGTTCGGAGCTTAGCTGAGACTGACTGAGTGGAGAAACATCAGAAAGTTCAACTCAACAACAGCCGTGGCAGGAGGAATCCAGAAGTTTTGTAAATACATTCAAATATCTAAGTTGTCATATGATTTTTCCATCTTGTCCGCTTTGTACAATTTTGTGATTTCTTCATAATTTTGCGTAATTTACTCAGTTTTCGTAAAAAATAACCATTTATTGCACATTTTGGCGGATATTGTGACATACACCCTGTATAGTTGATATTCATGCAACAGTATTAACGAATTATTGCTTCTGATTGATATATCTCCTACCTAAAACAAAATGTACATTTTTATTGGAACTCTTAAGATTTTTTTGATTGATAACGAATCGGTCCGGATTTATTTTATAATAGAGAGGGCAATGAACATTCCTCTTTTGCGATTAATACTCGACAACAATAATTCTGCAGATTTTTCTTATCTTTAGTTATTTTTGGCGGGAATAAGGAGACTGCATACGGGCTGCTCGAAAATAACGACCTCTCTGGGTCTGTCGCCTAGGGCCTAGGTAGCACAGTTAAAGATGCTGGCAACTAAATTTTCCAACCAGAGCCTCAAAACTTACTGATTTTATACAGGCTTTATTGAAATGACCTCATATAAATTAAAGACTGATGTCGAATTCATGTTTTGTTAGGTCGAATTCAGATAAAAAGAATCTTTTTGCTGATTCATATCCTGCTCAATCGGAAGACTATGGTCGCCATCAATCCAATGTTGCCAAATTTTTCAATTAGAGGAACCTTTTAGATAAATATATTAAACTATATTATAAATATACTAATTAATTAAAAAAAAAACAAAATAAATAATAAGTAGTCTCACACAGAATAATACAAACAAAATTTAAGTAATCTTTGCTTGTGTATAATATGAAAGCTAAGAAAGTGACATATTGTTGAAGTTTTTATTTTTCGCATACCTGTAGCGCCACCTATATGCGACAGACGACAAGACCTGAATTCCAAAAAGCTGCCAGCAGAGAATAGAATTACAAGAAAGTTACAAAATTTGTTCTGGTAATAATTACCAAAGACTTTCGAATGTTAAAAATACAGTCCAACATCATTATCTTCCTCTCCCTTTATGCCATGCACTGAGAACATATAATAATATTGTCAAGAATAATAGAATTATGGATTTAATACTTAGTTAGCCTTTTCAAGCAGTGTGATAAGTAACCTTGTTTCTTTAAATTAATAAATAACTGAAAGTTAACATTAATTCGTGGTGGTGTGTAATAACAATTAAGATCTTGAGAAAACTTGCTTTTACTATTGACATGAATATTAAAATAGCACTTTTTAAAGCTGTTATTCAGAGAAAGTATTTTTAGCAGTTCGTTTTTTGAAAATAGAGAGTTTGTGACATTGTTAGAAGTAGGGCGCTTTTATAGGGCTAATTTCGATAACAGTAGAGTTAATATCAGGAGTCGTTAATAAAGAATTGACGATAGTGCCACTTAATTCTGAAAATATTTCAAGTGTATTTACAGGTCTTTTTTTGCGACATGTCGAGAAGGAATCCAACAATAATTCCCCGAAATTAGGATTAATTTAGTTGATAAACGGATTAAAATTGCCCAATAGATAAGCTCAATTGTATATCTGATATCACAATCGTACTTCGATGTATTGTTTGCCGTTATTATACGCGAGCGCATTAAAAATATTTACATTTGCGTCTCCTCTGCTGTGATTGATTTGGACATTACCCGATCGGTGCGTGTGGGTAAGTACCTACGTCAGAGTGAATATCCCAGTCATTGAAAATAGGGTTTAACGCGAATACCAGTGTAATGCTGTAATATAGACAATCAAGAATCTGTATAAAATAGAATTCATTCATTATGCAAATTACACCAAGAGATAAAATTAACTTATTAAATTCGCTTGAGGACCTCCGTTTTATAAACATTAATAATAAAAACGTGGTTTTTAAAAAGGGGATGTAAATAAAATGTTACCGCCCCTATAACTTTTTATTTTTTCCTTTTACAAAAATAGTATATTATGCAACAAGTGCGGTAAATTGCATTTGACTCACGAGTTTTTAATAAATCAGTGAGTTAAAAAGTTTACCGAACGTGTTGCATACTATACTTTTTCTACGACCGTTAGTTTTTGAGTACATTTTTGTAAAACAACACGAATACATTCATTGACATGACCGTCACAATTCACAAACGTCAAAATTCAAAGCGAAAACATCCGATTGCTTCGAAATCCGTGCGGTTAAATTCCGGAAATGTCCGAAGTGGTTCGGAAACGAAACTGACGTGGTAAAGTGACATTTCCCGCACGCTAGGGTGTAGGGTTTGATGTGTAGATGTAATATTGCATTCTCATTTACATATGGAACATCACCAGTACACATACTTCCCTCCATCCATAAATTGTTTTATTAAATTATGACAATTGTGGCGTATTTTGATATTATTATTGTTCAAGACTAAATAAGATAACAATATTTGCAATTGGTTAAAAGTTCGAAATGTAGCTGTTTATAAAAAAATGATAAAAATGCATAAAGGCGAGCGAACCAGACTTCAATTGTTTGAACAGTAGGATTATTAAAGAA